TGTTTGGCACAAATTCAGACAGGAAGTTGAGGACGAAAGGCGCTGAAACATGGGGCTTCCTGTTATTTCTAGTCCACATGTTCAACCGTCGTTGGAAGATTCAAGGCCGCTTGCAGCGCGAATCGGTTCGACTTTTCGAGGCCGCGGAATGCATGATCAAACTGTGCTACCGCATGGATAATATCGGCTGGAAATTCTGTGACTCCGACATAGATGAGTGCTTGGAACACTGGAAACGGTTTTGTTCTCTCACCCGTCATTGTGAGCGATTGCTTACGCCAAAGCGCCACATCCTGTGGCACATGCTTCAGCGGGCTGCGTTCTTGGGGAAGCCACGGTTCTACGCAAATTGGACAGACGAGGGACTCAATAGAGTTTTGAAAGGTGCATGTCGCGAGCAGTCCCAGGTGACGTTCGAGGAGTGCGTGTTACTGTCGATGCCTTTCCTTGTGTAAAAAGTAACCCCACAAACATCACGCAAAACACGCATAACAACAATTTGCTATTTGCGTGGGAAGAGGTGTCGGACAAATTAGCACACATGTAAACAGATCCCCACCGTCTCTTCCTCCCCCATCAGCCTCCTCCCCCTTCCGAGTAACCGTGCAAATCAGCAAAGTCGAGATCCGAGGAAATAGGAAACCAGCAAAGTCGAGATCCGAGGAACAGGAAAACCAGCAGAGTCGAGATCGAGGAACCAGGGGAACCAGCAAAGTCGAGATCCGAGGAACCAGGAAAACCAGCGACGTCGAGATCCGATGAAGCAAGACAACCAGTGAAAACGAAATCAGAGAAACCAGGGCAATCGATCGAGCCGAAATCCGAGAAAGGACCAAGAGGGGCCGAAGGAGCAGGAGGAGCAGCATAAGCAGGAGGAGCAGGTGGAGGAGGGGCTGGGCGAACAGGGGGAACAGGCGGAGGAGGAGGAGGACGGGGAGGAGGAGGATGGGGGAAGAGGAGGGGGGGAGGGGGGAGGGGGGCGGGGAAGGATGAGGAGGGGGAGGCGGAGGAGAAGGAAGAGGGGGAGGAGGGAGGGGTGGCCAGGGGGAGGAGGAGCAGGAGGAGGATGAGGAGGAAAGGGAAGCGGATGAGGGGAGGAGGGGGAGGAGGAGAGGGGCTTTGAGGATGAGAAACAACAATGGAACATGTTGCGGATAAAAGGAGGGAGAAGAGGAAGAGGAGCGGGCGAGCGGCGAGCGCGCGGCCGCCCGCTTGGACGTCAAGGTCAAGGCGCCACCCGCGGCCGCGGGGCAGGGGGAGGAGGAGGAGCGGGGGGGGCATTCCTCCCCCTCCCCCTCCTCCTCCTTCCTCCTCCTCCTCCTCCTCCTCCTCCTCCGCCGCCGCTGCCTCCTCTTCCTTATCCTCTTCCTCCGTCGCCATTTTGGCTCAAACCATTTGTTGGGTAACGCCTGGGGCGAGTGCTCAACGGCACTGAGCGCGGAAAACCCGAACGATACACTCATAAAGCGTCTGCGCGCTCCAACAAACACAACTTCAACGTACATCTTGGAACCCATAACTGTACGTAAAATATCACGTACAAAAACTGTCCGTAACGGACAGTTTTTTGTACGTGATGGACCACAGGGCAGGGACCGACCGTCCCGGCATTCCTATAGTCCTGCATGCAACGACATGTTCTTAGACCCAAAAAATGTTCGAATAACCATGACAATGTTCTTAGTACATAAACCCGAAATGATAAATCAAGACAGTCCCAGCTAGAAATGCTCTAAGAACATGTCGTGGAAACCACAAAAGGTTCTTAGAACATTTTTCGGTAGGGCTATAGGCGAGCCAGGACGCTTCGCCACTGCTTGAGGCACCCAGCCTGCCACCACAATCGGCGGGAAACTGTCGCCGAATCTTTCAACTTCCGCTGGGACCCCTTTTGGAGCCAACTGGTGGCCAAAAGGGTCCTAAAGGACCCCTTCCGGATCGTTTTGCCCGCCATTTATGTATCCCCCCATTGCCACCGGCCCGGCTCAACCAAATTCCTCGGAGGTCCGCGCGACTCCTTGCCTTTTGGCCCAGATCTGCGATCGCGCTTCCAGACCGGCACCCTATCAAAACATGGCCCAGCAGGGCGGCCTGCCGTCGAGGAGGCTCCAGGGCCCCGCTAAAGGCCTCAAATTCCACAGACAGTTGGCCGCCTTGCCTCACTGCATGCTTAACTGGAGCCTCTCCTCCAGACAACTCGTCACGTATAAGAAAACACACACTGCAGACCGCGGGGATTTCTTGGATCGGCGCTGGGCCCTCCTCCGTGCACCCCTCCATTGGACCTGCTCTGAAGAATTTCAGACAACACCCTCAACCAAAATCTCCCCTGCAACTGCTTTCAAATCCACCGACCCTGTCGGCGTGTGGATGATTCGAGGCTGCCGAGTCTCAGCAACGTTGTAGTTGAGTCGAAGGGAAGCTCCTTCTCTTTGAACCCTTCCCCGCGCGGGGGGGGGGCGGTTTGGCGGCAAAGAAAAGCTGCATGACGCGGCAAAAATGGTCAAGGATGTCCCCCTTGTTTTCCTCAACCTCAGGAGCCCCCCCATGCTCGCCCTCCCCTGCCTCCGCCTCCTACGCCCGCCCCTCCTCGGCCTCGGGCTCCTCCTCTTCATCCCCTTCTCCGTCCCCCTCATTGCCATCATCCTCACGCTCCTACTCCTCATCCGACTTGTCCTGCCGCCGGCGTTCCACCCCACCCCTCAACGACATCATCATCGTCATCATCACCGACATCATCTGCGTCGTTTTTATCATCATCAACAGCCTCGTCATCACTTTCCTCTTCCGTCTCCTGCTGCTCCTGCTCGCCACGCTCTACCCACCGTTGCCCCTCCTCCTTGTCAGCCGTCCTTCTCCTGCAAATACGTCCCTGCTCGCCTCGCTGCCCCCCTCCCCCCCTCTGCTCTCCCCCCCTCCTCGTCTTCCCCTCCTCGTCCCTCTCGCCCATCTCCTCGTCCTCCTCCTCCCCCCTCGCACCTCCTCCTCTTCCTCCTCGCCCCTCCTGCTCCTTAGCGTCCTCCGCCACCTGCTCCTCAACATCCTCGTCGTCCTCGTCGTCACCGTCTTCAGGGTCGGCGGCACGGGCCGCAAAACCTTCGCAATATTTGATGGCGATGTCGAGTGGCACTGGGTACGGGTCGCCCTTCTCGTAGGGCATGTTCGCAAAGCAGCGATTGGATATATATATATATATATATATATCATGCGAACTACTGCGCAAGTCTGCCCAAGCCTTGAGACAAATTGGTCAAGGATGCGATGTGCAGCTGAGGCGTGGCCACACTCAGCCTACGAATTGAGGTTTCGACATGCTCGCTTCCAGAGACGCTAACTCTACAGTGCTCTTTTTGCTGGAAGAATATACAGTGCTTCTGCCGCTGGAAGAAAGCTGGAGTTAACAAATCCTCCGGTCGGGAACCATTTGGTCCAGATCTCCCGGCGTTTACATTCTCCATGGGAGGGCCCCGAAGAGATCTTAAAAGGTTACTCGCGGACAACTATCCCCCCTTATAGGATAAATCCCCCGCGAGAATGAAGACACACTGGAATTACCTGAATTGGATCTGGCGCCCCGGAGGCACGTGCTGGGATTTGCGCGTGCCAATGAAAACCACTAACCCCATCTGCGATTCGAAACTTCCCATCGTTTCTGGATGGGCTGGTGGGGAAATGGCCAGGAGGGGGGGCGGGGGGGCAGTGCCGTGGAGAGGGCCGTACAGGAAAAGGGGTCGCTGGGTCTTCACCAGGACCAACAAGTCTGCCCAGGGAGTTGCCTTGACGGCCCCAGGCAAGGCTGAATCGGTCGAATCGCGGGATTGCATCGGATCGGAAACAGAGCGGATCGCCAACGGCCAGCTCCCGCTGGCCCTGGCCGACGACGGTGGCTCGGACCGAATCGGATCGAGTCGGAAACGCGGCCACAGCTGGCATTAGGTCGGGCCTGTCCCCCTACAGGCCGATTTTCGAGGATACACTGAAGATGACCAAAACATGCTCAAACGTGGTCAAACAATACTAAAAAACAGTCCCCAAACTGTTGTTTGACTATTTCGAATATTCCTCCTGTGCGGGAACATGCCCGACTTACAGCTAGTAGCAGCTAGCAAAGCGAAGCGCATCGAACCCGAGCGTGGGCGACCCTGCCAGGTCCTGTGAGAGAGGCCCCGAGCGGCGAGAGGAGCCGGGGCCAATGCCCACCTGGAGCCCACTTCCTCGTTCGGCCAGGCAACTGGCCCTTGGGGGGGGGGCCAGGTTGCGCTGCAAGACCAAAGGGGGGTGGCGGACGAAGAGAGCCCGAAGACCACGACCGCGACCGCGACCATGATGACGACGACGACAACAACGACGCCGACCACGACAACAACGATGACGACCATGATTGCGACCAGGACGACGACGACAACCACCACCACCACCACCACCAGAACGACGACCCGACGAGGACATCAGGACGAGATGGTCCTACGACAACGACAGAAGACAACCGCCCGTGTCTGTCGCAGAAGGCGCATGAACTGCCCATCGAGTCTAAAACTAACGGCCTCGAACCTCAGATGGCAAAGACCACCACTACCACCACGAGGACGTCAGCGCCGACGGACTCCAGATCTCGAAAGGTCTCCAAAGTCTCTGGAGGTCCTCTGAAGACTCCAGACAGAGCCAATAACCAGCGAAAGAGAAGCCTAGAACCTCGCACCTCGACATTGGCAGTCTCTCGAGGTCTCCTTAAGCCTCCGGATGCCTCCAGAAAGCCCCAGATATAACAAAACTCACACAACTTGGAAACTGGATCGGCGATGACAACGGGCGGCAACGGAAGCGGCTGCGACGACGGGGGGCGCGACGACCGCGACGACGGCGACGGCGACGACGACGGCGCCTACCACGGCGACGACGACGACGACGGCGGTGGCGACGGCAGTGACGACGGCGGCAGTGACGACGACGGCGGCGACGGCGACGATGACGACAACGACCTTGGCCGCGACGCGTCGGGCCTGCCACCACGCTGCCAGGGGCGCGGCAAGAATCGAACCCGAGCCTGCGCAGCCGCGCCGGGGGGGGGTGAGGACCGACGAGCTCATTGACCTCCTCGAGTTTGTACGATCAGTGTTCTCGATCGGTGTTCTCAGATTTTCTTTGGGGGGGGGCGTCGCTGCAGATTGCTAGGCCGTGCTCGCGAGCACGCGCGCGCGAAACCCCCACAACTTCGATGCGCTCCCAGAGTGGCGCAAGCGCGGCATGTCTGCATCTCGATGATGAGTGGCATGTTCTCGCCGAGTCGGCAACGACTATGACTTGCAGGAGCAGTGAACACCCAGAGCCGCTTCGACCCGCTGGGCTCCAGGGAGCCCACGAAAGTGGCGGCAGTTTCTCAGATCGCAGTCCCCCCGGGGAACGGCGAGGACGGTGAGGTCTCGTGGTGATCTGCGTATGACGTACCTCCGCTGGCCCTCCCAGGAGCTCGCGAAAGTGGCGACATGTTCGCAGATCGCGGCCCCACAGGGGGCGGCGAGGTCTCGCGGTGATCTGGTAGAAGGTACCTCCGCTGGGCCCCCCGGGAGCCCACGAAAGTGGCGACGGTTTCGCAGATCGCAGCCCTCCAGGGGACGTCGAGGTCACGAGGTCACGAGGTAGGGAGGGGAAGAAAGAGGATGAGGAGGAGGACCAGTGTAAACCCAAGTGTCATCCACGATTTTGGAATAAACCAATAACCCACCACTCCAAGCTCCCTCTTCATAGGCCCTTGCAACGGTTCATTTCCATTGGGGAACTGTCTCGTTGGAAAACAATCGTTTGAAGACCCACAAGCATGGCAAAACACTGTTATCGGGAGATCAACGCCACGGGTCAACCTGACTGCTGCGTCTTGACGATCCTGAATCGTGCCAGAACGCCATGTTTGGGACTTCAGCGCCGCGAATCAACCAAACTGCTGCACCCGCATAATCCCAAATCCTTACAATACGCCATTTCTGGTACGTTGATCACGGGATTATGTGAAACTCTTGCAACCTTTATCAACGAATGCGCGCGACGCTGGGGCGAGAGTCACATGTTAAAAACCACCCGCCCTCAATCCGTGAACTCTTGCAAAATTATACAACGAACGTGCGCGGCGCTACGGCGAAGGCCACATTTTGAAAACGGCCCGCCCTCAATCCGTGAAACTCTTGCGAATTGTATCAACGAATGTGCGCGGCGCTATTTCGATAACCACATTCTGAACAACACCCGCCCTCAATCCGTGAAGCCTCCCAAACGTTCTAAAACGAATGTGCGCGGCGCCACGGAGAGAGCCACATGCTGGAACCCCCCCGCCCTGAATCCGTGGAGCTCCTGCAATTTGTTTAAACGAGTGTGCGCGGCGCTAAGGCGAACGCCACATTTTGAAAACCACCCGCCCTCCATCTTTGAGACGGTTGCCACTTCTGAGGTTCAGAGTCGTACGTGGTGGCGAAACGCCTGGCCCGCCCTAAAAACTGGCATCGGGGTGCGACACGGGGGAAATTACTTATAAGGAAAAGGGAAGGAGAGGTGGAGACCACAGTGCTCTATTCGAAGCGAGAACCCAACCAAAGGAGGGTTGGGAAAAAACGAAGGAGGAAAATGGAGGGAGGGAGGAGGAGTGAGTGAGTGAGTGAGTGATTGAGTGAATGATGGAGACCACGGTGCTCTATTCAAGACGAAAACCCAACCAAGGGAGGGTTGGTAAAGATAGTGAAAATCAGCGACGTTGGCCTGTTCGGGCGCTGCCGGGACGCCTCTCAGAGCTCTCGTGGGGCCTCTTGGAGGCCTCCTGAAGCCTGGAGGGCCGTCGGAAGTCTGTCTTAGGCTGCTTGGGAGCGTCTTGGGTCGTCTTTTTGGTTCTGGGGGCTCCTTGGGGGCGTCTTGGGCCGTCCTGTGGCGTTTTGGGGCCTCCCTGGGAGGCCCAGGGGCGCGGTACCGGGAGTTGCCCCCAAATGTCACGGAGGTGGGGGACGCTATATACACATTTACACATACATGTACATATAACATACAGCGCACACACACACACAGCGCACACACACACACATGTATCCCGTCGTGCTGCGATCACGACGTGAAAGGCATGGGTCGCCAACCACCGCGTCTTACTCCGTGCGCGCCGCTTCCGTGACAACGGGGTAGCCGGGCGGCGCCGGCCGCCGTGCGCGGCCTGCTCACGAACTCCCCCAACCATGCCGCCGCGCCAGCGTCCCGCGCGGCCTCCTTGGGGGGGGGGGAGGGGGCGGCGCCCAGAGGGCGGACCGGGAGCGGCCTCCCGAGGTTCTCATTAGGGTCGGGCTCGACGGGGTCTGTCGCGCTGGAGCACTATCGAGGGCAGCTGTGCTTGCGTTTAGCGCTTCGCGAACCACTCCACGCCCTCGTGCTACCCCCATGGGGAAGAAGAAAAGGTCGAGGAGGATGGAGATGAGGAGTCGCGAGTCTCGAGCCGCGAACAACTTCGCTTCCTCACGACGCCCTCTACTACCCCGATGCAACCGCACCCTTCGAATCAACCGTCACGACTGTGCTCGTCTTGGAAGTCGGAAAGGGGCCCTTGCCAGGCCCCGGGGCTGGTAAAAAAACTGCCTGGAATGAAACACGGGCCCTGGGGACGGGGTCTGGACTTCCAGGAACCGCGTATGAAAACGAATCCAGATGTCCATGCCTGGGGAGGAACCGCGTCGCGTGGTAGGAACAAGGGAAGACGACACCACCAACAACATCAGCACAAGGCGACGGGGAGGGCCCTCCTGGTGGTGTGGTCCCCCCTTCTCGCTCGAACAATCTCCCATTCCCAGCTCGGGGAGGCAACGTGGACCCCCTCGCTGCAGTGGTGTCGCATCACCTTCCTCCGAGCGTGGGTGGAGGAGAGAATCCGAGGCGGGGAACACACAAAACCACCGCCTCGGGGATCCATCTTCGGGGCCTTCGGCGGGCGGTGGAGATGGACATCTATTGCATCCCCTCTCAAGGCTCGAGTATTTCAATATCTGCGGACTGCCGAGGTATCCGAAAAGTCGACTCCAAGGCGGCGATTATGGATGAACCCCCGCCTCGGAGAAGAGGCCTCTCCAGTTTGCGGGGGTGGGGGGAGGAGGAGGAGGAGGAGGAGGAGGAGGAGGAGGAGGAGGAGGAGGAGGAGGCGGAGGAGCGGGAGGAGGAGGAACCTTCCACAAGCAGTGCCCTCCTCCATTGGGCCCGCCACCCTGTCGCTGTCCCTGTCAACCGCCGCCTCCGACGCCGACGAACCGTCGCTGCCGCCGCCCACGCGTGCACGGCCGCCTCCCCGCCATGGCCGCCCCCGCCAGCGCGCCGGAGGGACCGCCAGGGGAGCCCCTGCGCCGAATCGAAGAAATCCGCTCGGGCGTCCAACATTTTCCAGATTTCAGGAAAACTATAAAAAATATTCAACAATGGTCAGAAACAATAGAAAAATCGTCCCCAGAACATTTTTTTACCATTTTGGGGGACTCCTCCTGAAGAGGGACATGCCCGACTTGAGGCCAGAGCCCTGGACCCCACCCTTCTGCGGCATGTATCTCGAGCCGGATCGACCTGCCCCCCCCTATACTTGACTCCGTGGGGGCTTCGAAGGGACCAACAAGTTCGGGCCCACCTGGGTTCCCCTCCTTTTCTGGGAAACTGGGTCCTTTTCTGGGAAGCTTTGGGAATGTTCCCCGGATTCCCCTGGGAGTGTATCACCGGCTCGACTTCGCCGCCGCTAATCTGCGCGGACCTCCGTGTTGTTTGGGCAAGCCCAAAAGTACCGACACTTCTGCTCCACGGACCTCTCCCTGGGTGCCTTCTGACCGCAATTTCGAGGCGAATCCGGCGGTGGCGGCGAGGTTCTCCGAGGAGGCCCCAAGAAGCGAGAACGACGGAGGGGCAGCGGGTTCGTGCGCACGCTGCCCGGGCAGCGGGGGGCGAGGAGGCACTCGCGCATCTTTGGCAAGAACCACCGCACTCCATCGCAGCCTGGCTCGCGGCCACCACGCGGCATCGTGATGCCCTCTGAGGCTGCTTTCCGTGCTCATGTGCGCTTTTGCACTCACTGTCAGCTTCTCGAGGGCGGCCAAGAGGGGGGCGTCCAAGAGGGGGGGGGCGCAAATCATGGGCGGCGGCATGTGCGCGCCCAAGGGGGGGGTCCAGGGACGTAATGAAAAAGCATGAGGCACCATGAAATCTCGGGAATTACCATGGCCCACGCCATGATCTGCCCCCCTCCCCTGGTCATCACCCCCCTCTTTGCCGCCCCTGAGCTTCCCGCTCGGACCAAAAATTCTACGGACCCCCCACAAACATCTTTGGTCCCTAAAACAAACTCTTTGGTCCCAGCAAACAATTTCTGGTCCCAAGCAATAGTAGGTCCCAGCAAAAATTCTTTGGTCCCAGCAAAAATCGTTGGTCCCACCAGAAATTCTTTGGTCCCAAACATTTATTTGGTCATCGCTTGGCTCTCTACGGCTGGGAGGCGGCCCGGTCGGCGGCGCGCGCGCCGCGCCGGCCTGCGGCGCGAGGCCGTCGGCGCCGGGCCGCAGCTCGTCCAGGCGCAGGACGGGGCCCAGGGGAGGTGGCCTCGGGGTGCAGGGGGCGAGCCCAGGGGGTGATGGTGGTGGCGATGATGAGAAAATGGAACTGGAGAAGGAGGAGGAGGAGGGGGAGGGGGAGGACGGGAAAGAGGGGGAGGAGAGGGAGGACAACGAGGATGAGGACGAGGATGAGAATGAGGATGACGGTGTTGTTGATGATGATGGTGATGACGATGATCATGATGATGATAATGGTGATGATGACGATGAGCAAGATGATGATGATGATGATGATGATGATGATGATGAGTTGATGATGATAATGATGACGATGATCAAGATGATGACGACGATGATGGCGAAGATGATGATGCTGATGATAGTGATGACAATGATGTTGATGATAATGTTAATGTTGATGATGATGCTGAGGATACTGAGTATGACGATGACGATGGTGATGATGACGTGTATGCTGAGGATGATGATACTGATGACGTTGATGATGATGCTGATGATGAATGACAGCGCAGACAGAGACGAAGGCGATGACAATGATGATGATTGAGGATGGTGGTGGTAATGCTGATGGTGGTGATGAGGGTGATGATGACGACAATAATGATGATGATGATGATGATGATGATGATGATTATGATGATGATGATAATGATGATGATGATGATGATGATGATGATGGGTGATGATGATACTGATGACGATGGTGATGATGATGATGATGATAGTGGTGGCGGTGATGATGATGTTGGTGGTGGTGGTAATGATGATGATGATGATGATGATGATGAGGATTATGATGATGATGATGATGAAGGGTAGGATCAGGAAGGTGACGATGACGAGGACGATAACGATGCTGATGATGAAGATGATGATGCTGATGATGATGTTGATGATGATGCTCGTAGTGATGGTGACGACGACAACGATGATGGATCGGTTGGTTCAAAACGGGCATCGGGAATATTCTACCGTATTGGGAGCACGGGACGGGTGCAGAGATGCAGCAAACAACATCGCCGTGGAGCGAACGGACGGTTGACAAAGCAAGGAGCGTGCGCCAGACCTTGGAGACATGTCTCAGCGTCCCGCCCACAGGCCAATCAGCGTGCGGGCGGTGAAGGGGTTGAGAAGGATGAGGCAACCGATGGTGAAGGACTGGTTGGTGAAGATATGGCGGTGATGCTGCTGATGCTGATGGCGAAGATGATAAAACTGGTGCTGATGATGGTGATGCTGATGATGATGATGCTGCTGATGATGATGCTGATGCGGGTGATGATGATGCGGATGACGATTGTGATAATGATGATGATGATGATGATGACGATGATTGTTGATCATGATGATGATGATGCTGATGATGATGCTGATGCGGGTGATGATGATGCGGATGACGATTGTGATAATGATGATGATGATGATGACGATGATTGTTGATCATGATGATGATGATGATGATGATGCAGATGGCTATTGTATACATTTCTCGAGTTGTGCGTGTCATCCTTGCGCAGGGGACATGCACATCATCTCTGTATCGACTCAACTTAAACGGATGATAGCAGAAGGGAATACATGATGATGATGCTGATTATGATAATGACGATGATGGTGATGATGATGATGATGATGATGACTCTGTCACATGCTAGTTCTTGGGGGACTGTCTGAGCGCAGCTCAATGACAGTAGACATCTGAGACGTGGGTGACCTTACGGACGTGTTGGCTGGCCAGCACGGTGCTGGTGGTGGTGGTAATGATCCCCCTTCTGCGGACGACGCACTCGGCGCACAGCCGCCGCAAGCGTGATGATGATGATGGTGATGATGATGATGATGATGACCACGACGACATCGACGACGACGACTTTGATTACTACTTTAACGAGGATGAGGAGGATAAGACGATGATGAGGATGAGGATGAGGAGGAGGATGAAGACGATGATGAGGATGAGGATGAGGATGAGGATGAGGATGAGGATGATGATGAGGATGCTGATGCTGATGCTGATGCTGATATTGATGCTGATGATGATGCTGATGCTGATGCTGATGCTGATGATGATGACGATGATGATGATGATGATGATGATGATGATGATGATGATGATGATGACCCGTACGATCGCGCGCTCTGCACAGCGGAGCACGGACACAAACGGGGGGGGCGCCTCGAGAACGGCGGGAAACACACCATGCCCAGGCACACGATCACCACGGCAGACAGATTCGACGACGGACGCCGCAGTTCGGCGCGAACGCGAGTGCCCCTCCCGCTGCCAGCCCCTCGGCCCCCAGTGCCGCCGCCCGAGGCATCGCCGCACGGCTGCGGGCCAGCTCGGGGTGCCGAGGCACCGACGGCCCCGACGACGCGAACTCGTCCTGCTGGCTCACCTCAAGCGGGGGCGACATGCGCGCTTGCTGCGGCCGCGAGCTCGCGCCAGGCGCTCGCGCCGCCGGGCGGCGCAGATGGCGCGCGGGCGTCGTGCCTCACGCTGCCACGCCGCAGGTCAGCGCGCCTGCATCGGCATTCTGGGGGCCATTTTGGGGGGGCCATCGGAGCCGTTTTGGCACTCTCATTGGGCCCACGTGGGCCTTCCTGGAGCCCTCCTGGGCATTGTGGACAAGCTCTTAGAACTTGTTTGGGCCGCCTGAGGGTGATCTGGGGCGGAACCATCTTGGATGCCGTTGGCACCGCAAGCGCGAAAAAGGCCACTTCCCGTCAACAACCATGGGAAATCAAACGGTTCCTTTCTCGGCACCCCACGGGGAACTTTCCTTCCTAGGGGGTCCAGGCCACAGTAGGAACGACTTGGGCTTCCTTGGACGCATCTTGGCCCATCCTAAGGCTAGCGTGGTCGTCGTCGGAAATCTGCGGTTCCACCCAGACGGTCCCAGGCAGAGGCCATAGACCCCTGCGGAAGCCCGACGGCGGCGAACGGCGGCGGCGCCGACGAGCGGCGAGGGCCCCAGCCGCTGCCTCCGCAGCTGGAGCACCAGAGTCATGGAGCTCCCGAGCGCGGCCTCGCTTCCGCGGGCCGCCGCTGCCGTCGCCGTCGTCGTCGTCGTCGTTCGTGGCCGTTCTTCGCCGTCCGTTCGCCACCGCTCGTCGTCGCCACCAGCGTCGCCAGCATCGTCGCCGCCGTCGTGGCAGACGAGGCCGCCGCCGTGGTCCTAACTACATCATTCGTCGTCGCCGTCGTGGATCGTCGTGATCCGTCGTCGGCGTCATCGCCGCAGCCGCTCGAGAATCGACGCTCGAAGCGTCGGGGTTTCTTGGGGCCACATCGGGCCTTTAGGCGCTCAAGACTGGTCCTGCCGAGGACTCCCGGGGGGGAGGGGCGTTCGAGGACGCCCTCGGAAAGACGGGGGCGACCACCGTCGCCGTCGTCGTCGGTGTCGCCATTCGAGGTCGGAGAATCGTAGTTCGAGGGCCGAGAGATGTTCGCAATTTTTTGGGGGGCCTGCTCTGGATGCTTTCGCCGCCATGTCTGGATTCCCCCTCATCCTGTCTCAGTGCGCACTTCCAGGACAGGCCCAAGACCAATGGGTCGTCGTTGTCGTCGCCGACACCGTCAATCGTCGGTCTTCGACTGTACGGCGTCGTCGTCGTCGCCGTCGACGTCGTCGTCGTCGGCGTTGTCATCGTCGTCATCGTGGTCGTCGTCGTGGCCGGTCGGTCGTAGTCATCATCCTTTCCTCCCCCTGTTCCTCCAACTTCTCCTTATCTCTGCCTCTTCTCATACATGCCGCCATCATGTTCGTCCGATGGTTCCTCCGCATCCTTCTCCTGTTCGTCCTCAAGCCCAAAACCCTGGAATGTCCTGGCTGCGTATACGCAGCTGGGTATTGGTTTGGACTCCGCGAACATCTGGTGCGACATCTTCTAGATCCACCGGGCATTCGTGGTCAAGAAGTTATGCTATGGCCGCAGCTGCGGCGGCGGCAAGTACCGAGAAGGCAGACAACGACACATGGCTGATGGATTTAGGCAACAGACCGAAACATGGGCGCTGCAAAAAAGAAAACAGTCAGGCAGACGGAGCAGGTTTGTCGGGCGACCGCCGCAGCGAATCCTAATTGGTGGAGGTGCTCTCGCACGCAAACAAACAAGCACGAAAACGAGCGCACCGGGCACAGGTGGTGCAGCATTTCACGGCCATCCTCGGCGAGCTCGTGCTCGCCAAAGCGGGCGACCTCCTCCTCCTCCCCCTGCAGGTACTGCAGGTACTGCAACAGGTCAACAAAGAGAACACAGCTGACCGACGGGCACTGGCCCAGAATATTAGCGACGAGTTATGAAATCCCCCAAGGTGGTGCCACTAACCTGTTGGGGAGAGTGAGTTCGGCACCAGATACTGTGTAGCTTGCGCTTGAGGAAGGCGCGCTTTGTCTTCGAATTGTCATTCGGGACACACGTCGACCTCAAGCTGATGGCTTTCTGAGCCCCAAACGAGCCGCACCTGGAGCAAACAACAATGGGGAAACCAGACCCCACCACGAAAGCAACATGGAGGGAATGCCCGAAGTGTCCAGGTTCTTTCAGCACTTATGAAATAGGGTGCCTCAGGCCGATATAGAACTTTTGGTGCGTGGTGACACAGTTCTAAGACGGCGACTGCAGCGCCACTGATCGATATGCCAGTACTGAACATGTGGCGATGTCTGGGTCCTACGGCCTCGACGTCTCGTGAATTCCCTATCAAGCACTCTAAACAAACCAGCTGGTGGGGGGCCAAATGGCAAAGATTTTGAACGTGGAACCAAAGGTATCGGAAAAAGCAAGGTCAAAACCATGTGACCTGGCACCCTGCTTAGCCAGCCAAGCCAGTCTGCATATCTATTAACAAGGATGTCTAGTCCCACCAGCCCTCTGGGCGTGAGTGGTTTAAAGAGCCCGCTCTGTTCTCAACCCCCTTCTTCCCCTTCGGGGAGGGGTTTACCCCTCCCCCTACCCCCTCCCCCTGGGCCTGGAGAGGTCCTTTCGCGGGTCGTTGGAGGGGTCTTTTTCGACTCCTGGGAGGGCTAAAATTCGACACCCCTCACGAGGATCGTGGCCCCGACGGGGGGGGGGGGAGAAAAATGCTCGCCCCATCTGTGATCGATCGCCCGAAAGATGGCCCCAAGATACCTCCCAGACCCCTCCCAAAGAGCCCCAAGAGGCCCCAAGAAGAGGCCTCCAAGAGGCCCCCAAGATGCCCCCAAGAGGCCCCCAAGAGGCCCCAAGAGGCTCCCCCGAGGCACCCAAGACGCTCCTGGAAGCCCCTGGGGCCGCCAAGAGGCCCCCAAGACGCCCCAAACGGCCTCCAAGAGGCTCCCAAGAGGCCCGAAGAGGCTCCGCCAAGGCACCCAAGACGCTCCTAGAAGCCCCTGGGGCCGCCAAGAGGCCCCCAAGACGCCCCAAAAGGCCTCCAAGAGGCTCCAAAAAGACATCCCAAGAGACTCCGCGATGCATCCAACAGGCCTCTGGCCCTTCTGCTCGTCCTCCCCTCCTCGTCCGCCTCCCCCTCTTCCTCCTCCCTCCTCCCCTCCCCCACCTCCTCCTCCGATTCCTCCTCCATCCTCCCCTCTTGGGATATGGCGGCATCCCCTGTCCTTCGTTTCTCCGTATGCTCCCACACTTCCCTGATCGAATCAAAGCAACTCCTCTGGGCATCATTGCTGAAAAGATGACCAACAAATCCCGACAGTCGGCACTCTTTGCTAAAGTGGCTGTTTTAGGATGGGCTGGTGGGGATTCGCGAAGCGTGAACAATTTGTCTCTCTCGCTCGTGGCCGAGACTTAGGCTCGGTGGGCCTTCGCCCGATGGAAGGAAACCCATACTCGAACGTCGAGAGTCGCAGCTACCTGGCGCCAAAAATAAACACCATCACGCTTAGCCGCACGGATGAGTCTGCCCACGGAGCAGCGCAGCGCAATCGAGCTTAGCCACATCGTGGATTATACTATTCTAATAGTGCGCTTCAAATCTCCCGCCGGTGATAGCAGGGGCCAACTTCAGAACATCAAAGGGCATACCCTTAAGGTCGCGGATGGAGGCGGGCCCCCAGACAGTCCACCCCATCCACTCGCGAAGGGCACGGGCAAAGGGCAAAGATAACATATCTTGGGCTTAGATCGAGAACGTGCTGCCGAGGCTGAGTTCGGCGATCCTATTGGTGCAAGGGCATCGGCTATTAGCACCCATATATATACTGACATGGTCAAGGAGATGGCGCGTGTTGGCTGGATTATGCATGGTGGACATGCACTTCCTACAGAGAAAGGTCGTGCATCAGGAGGCGTGTGCATTCCTTATTCGCTCGCATGTGGGTAGTGGGTCACCAGACGAAGGATGTCCCCATCCAGGGCGCGCTGCCATATGTTTCATTCGATATGCAGAAGCTCGGGGTCATCGTGATCGGCACGGTGCACACTTTCGTGGGCGAGGGTCTCACGCCGCGACATTTGAAGCGCACGCGTCGCCTTGGCACCGCTGTCTTGGCGCACGAGACCACGCGCGTGATTGGCGGCGATTGGAATGACCCACCACGCGCGATCGGGGAGGCGATTCCATTGCACATGATTGATGGCATTGCACGGCGCGACGTCACGCATCCATCGTTTGTTCTTGACGAGCACGAGTCTACTACCGATTACTACTGCTATCAAAAAGTCGCTTGATCCGATGGTTGCGCATGCCGGGGCCCTTCTGGACGCGCCCGCGGGCCCTCGCAGACCCGTCCAACTCCTCTTCAAAGCGCGATCGGGCGAGGAGAAGACCAGAGTGGCTACGCAGTGCCGGGCGCCCCCGACGAAGCGCTGAGTAGGGGCCCCATACTTCCAGATCTTAGTCAACATAAGTCAGATGCTTTGTTGGATTTGTTTCGTGCGAGGTCGGCGGCTGCCAGAGCCAGTGCGCTCTCCGAGGCGACCAGCTGGCGAAGGGCATTCGTGCCCTAAATGCCGCTTCATTTCAAACTTGTACGTGCGCTCAAGAAGTTAGATAAGAAGAGCCCCTTCAACGAGGCCTGGGAGAAAGGCGCGAAGTTTTGGAATTTTCTATTGCAGGCAACCGGGAACACCAAGTACATGGATTATGCACCGGGTTTAGAGTGGCTGGAGTTGTTTTTTTTTTTTTTTGTTTTCCTCCTGGGGGAGACGCCCGGAGCAGCAGCGCGACGCGGGGCAGCGCGCGCCCACGGACACTCGTGGCACCGAATTAAGGGAGGAGGAGGAGGAGGAGGAGGAGGAGGAGGAGGAGGAGGAGGAGGGCCCACACCAACCTACGGCGAGGCGGTTTGGCCTAGCCTTGCCAGGACGCGCGCCTTCAGGGCAGCCAGCCGTTCGGCAGCAGGCGGCGCTGAGGAAGGCCGCAACGCCGCCGCGCGCGCCTCGCAGATCGCCTGCGTGGCCGCCGCGTCGGCAGTAGCCCGGGCCGCCGAAGCGGCGCGCGACGCGGCGGCGTGCGCCCTGCACCGGGCCCCGCGCGCCGACGGGCTCGGGCCCCGCCTCGCAGGCCAGGGGGCGGCAGGGGGCGGCGCCTCCGGCACTGCTGCCGCCACTGGAGCCGCTGGCTCCCGCGGCGCTCGGGCGCGAGCGCGGGCTGGCGCTCTCGGCCGCCGCATGGCCGCGGCGTCGCGCTCGAGCACGCGCCGGGGGCGGCCGTCCGGCCCGAGCTCGACCCTCTCGTGGTGGTTCGCCGCGAAAGTGACAGCCCCGAGGACAGCGGCCTCGTGCGAGACCAATTTCTCCGCGACCAGGAGAAGGCGCTGGGCCGCAACGCACGGCAGCGGGCAGCCGGCTGCCGCCTTGGCCACAGCATCGGCCAGCCGGTTGGCCCGCCAGTCCACCGCCGTGACCGCGACGCCATCAGATCGCGGAGCCGTGCCGATCACGGCGGTCGTGCCGTGTGCCGGCATCCACGTGAGCTTGCCCGAAGTCACCAGCACTGCCACGTCGCCATCAAGGACGGTGGAAATGCGCGACCAAACCTGGGCCAGCATTCCGGATGGCTTGGTGGCGTGCACCGTGCCAGCTGCGGCCGCTGACAGGATCGAGCGGCAATCCGTGCGGATGGACGGCGGCACGATGGCGATGGACAGCACCAGGAGGACGGCCCATAGCTCGGCGGCTGCAGCGGTGCGAATCCACGGCGGAGGCACAGCGCTGCCATACGCAACCAGGTCCCCGCCGGCCGACACGACGAGAATTGCACATCCAGTGCGCCTCAACTCCCACCGCGGCCCAAACTTCATGGACCCGTCCGTGTACCAGCAGAGGTCTGTGCGGCTCGCGTCTGGCGGGCCAGGATGCCACCGGACGGCAACCTCTACCTGCGGCACTGGACGCGGCAGCCGGAGAGCGAGCAAGCCTCGAGTCCGAAGCAGGTCCAAACGGGCCGCCGGGAGCGATAAGACCAGGCGGTCGCACTCCTCGGGCGGGTTGGGCCATCCTTCGGGAGGCAGCGTGACCTCGCAGGCACGGCGGTGGAGCAGAGTGCCGAGGGCAGCGCCGCAAAGCTGGCAGCGTCGATCAACAAAAGCGTCGGCGTTCGGCAGCTTCGCGATCCGGACCTGCGGCCACTGCCCGCCCGTTGCTGCGGATAAGAGCTGCGACCGACAGCGCCCCGTCCACTGCGGCACCGTGTGGCCAGGTTTCCCGCGTCCTTTGAGGAGCAGCCCAATCGGGCGGTCCACAAGCAGAGTGAGCATCTCGGTCTTGCTCCGGTGCACCCGCGTCGGGGTCCCCAGCGATGAGAGAAGGGAGCGTGGAAGCTACCCTTCGCGTGCGCCATCGGTCCACAGACCTGCGCACAGCAGCGGCGACCATCGCAGGGGACATGAGGATGAAGTCCACCGGCTCGCAGTTGTCGTCGTAGAAACACCTGGGGGACTCACGGGACCAACCGAGGCGCCAGGCAGTGGCGATAACGCCGGCCACGGGGCCTGTGACAGCAGACCACACCGACCGTCCCTGAGCTACCACATCCTGCAAACGATGCCGCGCGATGCCGAAGACGCTCTCGAGCTCCGAGGAGGGCGCCCAGTCCTGCCAGTAAGCCAGACCCCAGTGTCGTAACGGCGTCGCGTGCGCCGCGTACGCGGGGTCCAAAATACCGCCGCCAGCGTCCAGCACACGTTACGATGGGCACCCGGCGGCAGGGCCGCGCTCAGGGCAGCAACCCTCACGCGGTGCAGGTGCGCGTTGGACGCTCCGACAATGTCGATGCCGTAGAGCATGCCGGGGCTAGCCATGGCCCCCACCACGCGAGTCACGTCAATCCGCTGGCGGCGAAGGGCGTGGATCCGCGGTGTGCGCTGCTGGAAGGCCTTGAGCCGGGACTTGAGCACCCCGACAGACCGCCTCCGCCCGCCCGAAAAGGGCGTGCCATGTAGCTTCACGCTACGCTTCGGGACGAGAATCTGGCGCCGCATGCTGCGCGACAGCCAGACAGCAAGCCTCGGCTTCGATGCCACTGCAAAGGACTTGGTCGGCGACACAGTGAGCTTCAGGCACACCTCGAACATGTCCACGAAGAAATCCGTGCTGCGAGATACAGCGTCCACGGCCTCCGCGGAAGTGCCAGAAGCAGCAATGGTGAGGTCATCCACGTACAGGTACAAACGAAGCATCGGCCAACGTAGCGACGCGATGAGCATGGACTCGTGCAACAGCAACTGGAGTTCCATGGTGGCGAAGCCGGACCCGGCTGTGATGCCGCGGGTGGCGATGACCAAGACCGAAAACGCGCCCTCGACTCCGATGGCTCGCGCGAGCCGGTATGCCGCGAGGGACAGGCGCAGGGCGACAAGGTTGAAATCCAGGCGCACCGCGGCCGCCGCGATGAGGTAGTGCGGAATCCGCTCAAACGCCTTCACCAGATCAAGTAGGGAAGCGACGTGCTGCTGGGAAGACGCCGCCGCGGCCTCGGCAGCGAAAAACGCTGCCCAGGCGGCGCGCTGGGCGCCGCGGGGTCAGGGTCCAAAAACACAGGGGATTTGCCACATTTCTGAAATTCGGTGCCACCCCTCACGCAGATCCGCGGGGTCAGGGTCCAAAAACACAAGGGATTTGCTACATTTCTGAAATTCGGTGCCACCCCTCACGCAGATCCGCGGGGTCAGGGTCCAAAAACACACGGGATTTGCCACATTTCTGAAATTCGGTGCCACCCCTCACGCAGATCCGCGGGGTCAGGGTCCAAAAACACAGGGGATTTGCCACATTTCTGAAATTCGGTGCCACCCCTCACGCAGATCCGCGGGGTCAGGGTCCAAAAACATAGGGGATTTGCCACATTTCTGAAATTCGGCGCCACCCCTTACGCAGATCCGCGGGGTCAGGGTCCAAAAACACAGGGGATTTGCCACATTTCTGAAATTCGGTGCCACCCTTCACGCACATCCATCGCAAGGCGTGGTAACCCAAACTGCGAGAACTCCCTCGGCCCTTTAATCGCAAGGTGTGGTAACCAAGCCCGTAAACCATACACGTCTTACCAATCGCCAGGTGTGGTAACCCCTCTTGTGATCAGTTGGTTTTGCTGATTGCGAATCGGCTTCGCATGAAGTTTCGATACTGCTTCACGACAGCGCCAAGGCCTCATGACTTAGCTCTTCCATGGCCCATTCTCCGGGAGAGGGGGCCGGCGGCAGGGGGCGAAACCCTTACGGATTTGTCTTTCGGTGAAAGAGACTGTTGGCGACTTTTACCTCGTGGGGTTTCAAACTGGGCATTGCATTTTTTCCACAACTGCCGTATGTCCAGCCTTGGTGTGAATCGCCACAAGCTGTTCCATGCCGGTCTCGGCAAGCTGACCACCTCCACTGCTCTCAACGCTGAAGGGGGGCTCGGCGTTGGTATTGCCGAAACCTGTGCCTATCGCATTCTTCTGTCCCCAGACACCGCCCAAGGCTGGCTTAAAACCGATCAACCCATCGAGCCTGGCAATAGTTGCACCACACCCAATGCTTCCTGTTGCGGGCGCATCCACACTTGGACCATTTACAACCACCAGAAGGCGTAGGACCAGAAACAGAAACCATGGGCAACCCGTGTTGGTGTGGGAGGAAGACGTTGTAGTATAAGTGAAAAGTGGGGGCTGGTACCCCAATCCTTTACACGGGAAGCTGGTCGGGGCCGCGCGATCCCCTGTGCCAGAATACTCTCGGCCTCTGGGCCAATGCTACGGACTTAGCCAAAGTGGCAACGGACCGGACCCCCTCTCCCCCTCCCCCTCCTCCTCCTCCTCCTCAACGATCGACCACGGTCCTGCAGTCAAGACTCTATCGAGGCAGGGAAAGGGCAGGTCCCAGCAGCCACGAAGCTCAAGGAGGACCAGAGGAAGGACGACGCGGTGGACACAGCGAGGCTGCGCCGCCCACATCTTCACGTTCCTTGCGGGTACCGAGGCAGGCCAGAACAGAGAGGCGCTCAAGTACTGCTGGCAGGAGGCGATCATGAAGCTTGAGCTCGCGGACGTGGCCTCGCTGAAGGGGGCCTGGCGCTGCGGCCAGTGCCATTGGTGCCGCAGCCAAGCGAGGCGAGGGGTTGCAGGCGAGTGGACACGTGAATATCTTTTCATGGCCGACGCCGCATGTGATACCTCGGGGGTCACGGTGTGTACAACCACCACGCATGACATAAATTCTTCCGTACACGGGCCTCGCACATGCGAGGCACTACTGGGCTGGCTGGGACACGATTTTCAGATAGAGGACTGTGCCTGGTGAAGTTGGCTGGCCTCGGTGGTCCCTTGGCCTGAATTCTACTTCCTGTACTTTGGCATCCTTAGAGTTTTTCCTTAGAGTCGATTGGGCGTTAACTTGCGGATGGCTGTCTCTTTGGCCAGAGACCGGGCATGAGTTGAGCTGGTTGCTATCTTCTCTTGGGTGTGGACGTGTGCCTGCGATCGCCTGGCTCCTGCAGGCCTGTCAGATGCGGGTGTGTGAGCGCGGGCCCGGTGGTTGCCAAGTCCTCCTCTGACCATCGGCACTGCGGCTCAGGGCCAACGCGTCCAGGGCCGAGGAAGGAAGAGCCAAAGCGCCTCACAATTTTCAGGTTTCTCAAATAGTCGCAAGCAATCTCCCAGCGCGTAGGGGAATGGGACATGAGGCGCTTCGGCGCCTGCTGCCGCAGTCTCGCGCTCAAGTTCTACCTGCTACTGCACTGAACTACTGAGTCTCTCTGCAACATTTCGGAGAAGATTTCCACATCCTTCTCCCCACTCCGGTGGGGGGTGGCCCTTCGGGGTCTGCACCATCTTCGGATGTGTGCTAGTGAGTTCATTCAGCTCGCGGACATGGCTCACGAGATCAAGCACCTTCAAATTCGCGTCCAGCAGAGCAAAGATAAGGACAGGCATCAAAGACATGGATGGCACAATGAGGCGGCGGGCCCTATCGGCCAACGCCCAACTCAACAACGACTTAGATCGAATCCTATGCGCGTACTCGTCCGGCAGGTAGCGGAGATCACGATCGGAGAGGCGCCGATGGGGAGCCTTGGAAAGGGACGCGAGGGCGCTTTTGAACAAGCTCGAGGGCGGCTCGAACCCAGCGGGATGACAAGGATGGAGGCCATGTTTGGAGCGAAAGGCTGCGACATCTGATTTAAGACACGGATTGCGTCTAGAGAATATGCTCTGGCCTCCTTCACCTCCCCCCGCATGCGAAGCACCGGCTTGGACAGCCAAGGTGGAGTAGTCCCAGTAGCTAACAGCCAAGATCGGAGCAAGCCCTATGGGAGGTGGGCAAGGGAAGGGGGGAACATAACCCACTCGAGCATGTCTTTGACTTGTTGGCCGCCAGTCCCGCGCCCTGCCTTCCCCCCTGGAGAGTTCGCGGGGGCCGGCGGGGGCCAGTGTGGTGCGCCCACCACTGCTGGCGAATAACGCATTTTGCTCAAGCCATCTTGGCTCAAGTCGGGATTTGGTCAAGGGGATTGGGTCAAGGGCATTCAGGTCAACAATATCAGATCCGTCCTCACATCTTACACTTCGAGACCACATCGATGGCTTGGCCTGGTACCCCTGTGAGGCAACTGTTCAAACAGCACAGGGTCCACAGCCCACTTCATGAGATGGATGGGCTTGAGGACGACAGTGGAGTAAGGGGTTCAGGGACAAGAGGTTCTGGGCCATCAACGGGGGGGAACACCACGAGCGCAGTCACAGGAGCTGCCCTTGGACTTCAAGAAAAATACCAACAGGGGAACGATGCATTAACGTTGTCTTCTATGGCGCGTCTTCTGGAGGAACATTTGGCGCCAATACGCCAAGACATATCAGCCGTAAAGTTGCATGGAGCTTCTCGCGACGACCTTGACGGAGCTCTCCAACCGATCATACAAGACATGGAGGCCATTTCGTAACAAGTGGAGGAACTGGAAACGAAATCGGCCCAATACACTCCGCGCTCGGACGGCACGGAGATCACCTGGGGGGCAGTGCAAGACTTACTTTGAAGATCGGTGCTGAGACGATTCTGTCTACTACCCGTTCGGGGAACAACTTGGCAATTACGTGGTTGAGCGAGGAGTGGAAGAATTGGGGGTATCTCCACAACGACGGTGATTACAAGGCGCTGTGCGAAAAATGCCAGAAGTCTTTAGAGGCGATTGGGGACAAAGGCAAAGGATTAGGGAAACCATTGGCCAAATAGGGACAGCACCGGTCAAACCACGTTTCACCCCCTACCTTGACAGGGGATTTGCATGTGTACAACAAGAATGCGAGATTACGAACGAATGCGCAAATAGTTGAATTAATGGCTGAGTTGACAGATGTTGATTGGGATATCAAGATGTTCAGCGAGACAAGGGCCCTTTCAACAGAACTTACATTAGAAGATGGGCATACATTGTTTTCACATTTGGATGGTTATGCTGCTGCGGGTTTTGGCGTCTTGGTGCACGAGCGCCACGTCCAGAGTATTCGCAGGGTGGTTGCGGAGGCTGGCCGCATGATCAGATTAGACACCGCATTGGGGAAAGGTTCATACCCATTTATTTCAACGTATGTTCCTTATGCTGGTTTCTCTCTGGATGAGTTCACAGAGATCTACGACCAGCTCGATAACATGGTGCGCACGGCCCAGAGAAAAAAGAGGTCAAGTAATTATTAGCGGCGATTGGAATACTCAGTACGATATCGGCCCAACGGGGGCAAAGACTGAACGAGTTCGTAGCGTGCCATGGCTTTCAATTAGCAAACCTTCCACCAAATCTGAACTACGCAAACGCGTGGACTTTTCGATCGAGCCTTGGACACACAAGGTGCATTGATTTCATCTTAGTGCCTGGCTCCCTACACGTGGTGGACAGTAGAGCGGTTGATTTCTTAAGCTTGGGATCGGACCACAAGGCCGTACTTGCACACTTGTCAATGAGAATCCGTACCCGGAAGCGCCAACAGAAGCGGAACCATCGAGGTTGGCAACCACGTGATGATGCTGATTACGGTCACGATTTGGAAACATATTTGCACGATAGTCCGCCAAGTAATCTGTCCGACCTGGACGCGGGCATGGCCGCCGCTGCACCGGGGCAGGCCCAACAGCAGGAGGGAGCAAACTTGTTTCTGGAATCAGACTGCTTTCCAAGAGCTCTTGCGTCAACGTCGTGCTCTCCCATACGGGTCCGCAGCCAGACGGGACATGTCCAAACGTATTCGCAGGATTGTGCGCGCCGAGCTGCGGAGCAGAAAAGCAAAGCGCACCGAACAGATCCTCGGCGAGTTCTGCAATCTACAACGGCTTCCAGCAACAACGTTCTTCCCAGCCAGAAAACGAAAAAGGATGTAGTTCATGCGCAATGTTCTACTGAATCTTTGGCGGGCTTCTTGGAGAACATCTTCTCGTCTACAGCTGTGCCGCCGCCGGAAATGACCGACCGACGCGTGTTCACCAACATTCCCCAATTCACCAAGATGGAGCTGAAAAACAATCCGGGCTTTGAATAACAAGAAGGGCACCGAGACTGATGGCATCGTTGCGGAGATGTTCAAGCATGCTTCAGGCACGTTCATCGAGTGACAATTGTTTTTCTACAACCAGACTCTGTTGACTGGAGAATTGGAAGAGGCATGGAAAGACACGTTGGTCGCAATGCTCCCCAAATCCGGGGATTTGGCACAGCCGCAAGACTGGAGACCGATTGCCATGCTCAAGACAACTTACAAGATATTCTCCCGAATGCTGTACCATCGTCTGAGTGACGTCCTTGAGCAGGCGCAAGGGCCAGACCAGGTTGGCTTCAGGCCGAACCACTCGGTCGATGACGCGTTCTTGGTCTTTGAAATGGCATGCGGTAAATGCTTAGAGTGGCAGGTGCCGCTGCGGTTCGCCAATCTGGACCTACGCAAAGCTTTCGACTGGATCGAATACGGGCCTCTCTTTGACGCCCTCAAGCGCCAAGGAGTCGATGCAAATTACTCTGCATTATTGGCGAGGCTGCATTCTGGGCACATGGGCAGCGTGTCAGGCGCACAAGCTTTTCGCATCCAGCGGGGTGTAAAGCAAAGTGACGTCATCAGCCCGATGTTGTTCAACGCCGGGTTGGAGTTGGCAATGGAGAGATGGAAAACCCGCATAGTTCACGCCGGGTGATTCATCGGAGCGGACGATAAACTCACGAACATACGGTATGCCGATGACATCATGTTATACGCGACGCGGTCGGTCTTCATCTGAACCCAGAGAAGACAAATATTCTCACCACGGAGGAGGTGATGGAGAATTTGTTCATTGAGGTGGGCGAGCACATGCTCAAAGTCATGGGCGGCAATGATGTTTACAAATATTTGGGTAAACGTATACCGGCGAATTTGCATAATCGCAAGATGTCGAGTTGGGGCGCAGATTCCAACGAGCTTGGCACAAGTTTCACGAACACCGTCGGGTCCTCACAGACCATAACGTTTCTTTACGACTGCGGCTGAAGCTGTTCCAATCTGTCATTGCGCCGACACTATTGTTCGGATTATCGGCCACAGCTCTGACCAAGCATCAAATACAATCTTTGGACGTCCTTCGAAACAAGATGCTACGTTCGATTGTTGGTTGGAGGCGTTGCGAGGGCGAGGATTGGGCAGACACCATGAGACGAATGCGGAACAGGATTGCCCATGCAATGCATATTTTCCGATTGTAGAATGGAGCGGACTATTATGTCGCCGCTTGTTTAGATTTGCCTGCCGGATCTTCGGACAATGAATGGGCCCAGAAAGTCATATTGGGGAGCCCGCGCTATACACACAGGGCTACGAGGGCGCGCGGACGCCCTCTGACGAGATGGGAGGACCGCCTTCAAGGCTTTGCCCGTGATGTTTTGCATACTGTATCTCGCTGGTATGAAAGTGTATCTGAACGTGATGAAGACGCATTTGTCGAGTATTGCATTCACGCGTGAGGACCGCCCCCGCTCTTCTCCTCCTTCCCCCCCCCCTCCCCCTCGGAGGCACAACGTTTGCTCTCCGTTGCGCGCGTGTTTGTTCAGGCCATTGCGCTGTATCCTCGCCCGTTTACGGGCTAACCCATGTGGTTTGACCGGGCCTATGCCTGTCTGTCTGCTCCCGCGATGGAGGGTAGCCAGTCGGAGTCCAGCACTTCCTATCGCCCGAGGATATGGTTGCTAGCTCGCGTACTTGCTCTTAGTCCACATGCTGCTGCCGTTCCTCCTCCTCTCATCCTCCTCCTCCTCCTCCTCTCCTCCTCCTCCTCCTCCTCCTCCTCCTCCTCCTCCCATCCTCCGCTGTTTCATCCTCCTTCTCCCTCCTCCCTCCCATCCTTCTCCACTCTCTTCCACACCTACCCCTTCTCCCCCCTCTACCTACTCTTCCCCTATACTCCCCTCCTCGCCCCTCTTCCCCCCTACCCCTTCTCCCCCTCTCCTCCCCCTCCATCCTCCTCCGTACTCCTCCCCCCCTCCTCCCCCTCCTCCTCCTCCTCCTCCTCCTCCTCCTCCTCCTCCATACTCCTCCTCCATCCTCCTCCTCCTCCTGCTCGTCCAGGGGGGGAATGGAAGCAAGATGCGGGGGACGGAGGCGCACAGGAAACGGGCACGAGGAAATGGCGAGTGACTCCAGGGCAATCTGAGGGAGCTTCCCTCCCTCAGCCCTCCCCTCCCACCACTCCCCACCTCCATGCTCCCACGCCTCCTGCTCTCTTTCTCCTGCTCACATTCTCTTTTCCTCCGCCATCTCCTGCAATCGAGGTCCCTGAACCTCCCTGGCCTCTCTGGGGCCTCCGATATGCACAGCTGCTCTCCCCGGCAACTGACGACGTGAAAAAAACAAACGTCACGCACAAACAAAACCACGACTGGAACTCCCGACCAAACATCTGTCTCGCGGGACCTCTTGGGCCCGGTCGTTGTTACGAGGTGGTGGCATGAGGCGGGCCCGACACGGGGCAGCGAGGACCGCTGCGCGATCTCTCTGGGACGCCCAGACATCAAGGGACACCGACGCGGGCGCCGACGACGCCGGCAGCGGCGGCGCCGACGACGGCCGCCTCCGTGCGTCGTCAGCTCAGAATCAGCCCCCCGACCCATCCAGGGCGCCATCCTGGCCAACTCTTCGAGCCGCGCGCGCCCGACTATGGCGGCGAGGGCCTCGGAAACGACGACGCCGACGACCCCGCGACGGCGCTGGAGGATTCAAGTGCGATGAAAAGCGGGAGTGCTGTAAAAGACGCTCGTGCGATGAAATGATATACCGTTGTATCGTGTTTTGCAATGTCCTCCTCCTCCTCCTACTCCTACTCCTCCTCTTCCATTCCGTTCTCCTTGCCGATGTCTCCTCCCTGTCGCACCCCGAGGCAAATTGCTAGGGCGGGCCGGGCGTTTAGCCTGAGACTTCCTCACCATTTATGAATCTGAAACTTACAAAGGTGACAACAGTTTCACAGATGGAAAGCGGGTCGTCTCCAAAATGTGGCTCTCGCCTCAGCGCCGCGCACATTCGTTTTGAACATGTGCAAGAGTTTCGCGGATTGAGGGCCAGTCGTTTCCAAAATGTGGCTCTCGCCTCAGCTCCGCGCACATGTTTCTTAAACATTTGCAAGAGTTTCACGGATTGAGGGCGGGTGGTTTTCAAAATGTGGCTCTCGCCTCAGCGCCGCGCACACTCGTCTTAAACATATGCAAAGAGATTCACAGAGTGAGGGCGGTTCCTTTTCACAATGTGGCTCTCGCCTTAGCGCCGCGTGCATTCGTTTAAGCATTTGCAAGAGTTTCACGGATTCCCATGATCAACGTATCAAAAATGGTGTGTTGGAAGATTCAGGATTATGCGGGTGCAACAATTACATTGATTCGTGGTGTTCATATGAAAACATGTCGTTATGGCACAAATCCGGAACAAAAGGCAGCAGTCAGGTTGATACGAGGGGTTGAAATCCCGAGAACAATGTTTAGGCATGCTTCAGGATCTTCAAACGGTTGTCTTCCAACGAGGCAGTTCCCTCAATAGGAATGAACCGTTGTAGGGGCCTATGAAGAGGGAGCTTGGAGGACGGGTTAATTCCAACATCGTTGATGACTCTTGGGTTTACACTGCTCCTCCTCCTCCTCCTCCTTCTCCCAACGAGGGGGGAGGGGGAGGAGGGAGGAGGAGGAAACGAAGGGAGGAGGAGATGATGCAGGAGGAGGAGGAGGAGGGAAAGGACGTCTGCTCAAGGCGTGCATCGCGCTTTGTTGCATCGCATGTGCACGGGGCTCGCCCAGGGGCGCACCCTGGCCAGGATCCTTCGGGGGCGCGCAAACATGGATTAGCGATCCATGGATCTAGGCGCGCGGTCGCCAAACTCATGGATCGGAGAGGTGCCCTCACCAAAAAGCGGCCGGTGCCGCCTGAAAGTCCGCGATTCCCCATGGATTCCCCGCGATTCCCCATGGAAACGGGACCCGTCGCTAATCCACGCCCCCGTAATCCATGTTTGCGATCGCCTGAATCCTGAGGGGACTCGGGCGGCGGCGGCGGTGAGAGCGCCCCAGCCGGCGCAGGGCGGCCCGAAGGCCTCGACAGCCGACCCCCGCACGGCGGCGGCGGCGGCGAGGCCGCGGCGCCTTGCACGCCTCGAGCTCGGAGATAGGCGCGCCGTTGGCACGCAGGAGGCGGTCGCCCTCGGAGGGGCGTGGGGGGAGGGAGTCGGGCCTCCTCGTCCTCGCCGTCCACCTGTCGGTTCCCCCCCCCTTCGTCCTCGCCGTCCACCTCGTCTCCCCTCCTCCCTCGCGTCGTCGTCGTCCTTCGCCTTCACATCTTCCACCTCGTCGTCGTCGTCCTCCTCCTCCGTCTCATTGTCCTCCTCCTCCTCGTCGTCGTCCTCCTCCTCCTAGTCCCCCTTCCTCCTCGTGCTTTCTCCAGACCTCATCCTTCTCCGCCTACTCCTCCTCCTACCTCGCGTCCCTGCGAAGGCCACACTAATTAAATCCTCGATGGCTTTGCTAAATTTGGATTTCCGCGGGTCGTTTCTGTTCCAGGTGGCCATCAGAAACTGATCTGGGGCGGAGCGCTGTACGATGGTGATGGGCGAGAGGCCTTTAGGGCCCAGGCCATGACGCCTTCCCCCGGCGGGGGGGACGAAATTGAGGATCGAGGTTCCTCCAGATCTGGGTGTCACTGCGCGGGAACATTATTACCCCTACCCCTGTCCAAGGATTTCTGTCGCCCGCCGCGGATAAGGTGTTGTTCCACTATGGTGGCGAAGCCGCTCCATTGACATTGCGGCCCACGCATGAAAATGCGATATCGTTTCGTCGGAGAGTCAATGCATTGGCGCGCGCGTTGAAACCAACTGGCCGACAAATGGGGCCAAAAGACTCCCTAAACTCCAGACGGTTACTGCACAAACGAAGAACGAACAATATTAGCACGCAAGCAAAATCAAACGGGAGGACATCAACCCGTGTGGCAACCTTTTCAGGGAAAATATATCGAGATGGAGACCTCCAAAATTGTCCAAATCCACCCTCAACGGATCGGCCCCAAACGGTTTGGGGATACTTTTGCGGACCCAGGAGGGACTGAACAATTTGCCCCTAACCAATGCACTCCTGGCCCCCGTGGGCCTGTGAACGCCCACGCGTCAAGACACGTCGCGCCCCCAGGAACTCTCTGACGAGGCAGAACAACATCACAAACCGTGTGCAAACAACTACCCTCGAACTCGTTCCACGTCGCCAGCCATTCCCGCAATCGAGCCCGGGCACAACCGCTTCTGCTCCGCGCGCCCCCGCAGAATGACGAGCCCCAACCCCCAAGCAACCCAACAATCAGTTCAGCGAGTCGCCCCCTCCACCAGCGAGGCGCGCCTGAGCATCGCCGCCAGAACGGCGGTAGGCCCCCGCTGGTGAATCCGCACGCTCCTGGGCGGCTTGGGGCCATCGGGACCCTCTAGCAAATCAGTGGGCGATCTGGGGGTCGGTGCGTCCCCCCAGTGCCTGTAACCTGCATCGTTGCCCCCGAGGGCCTCGCCTCACGATAAAACTGGGCCGCGGGAGACGGTTCGAAGCTTCAAGCCGTGGTGCGGCCTCTGGGGTGGCTCCTTGGGCGCTGCCGTGGCCACGGCCGGATCCCCTGGGACACTCTTGGCATGCTCACGGCGTGGGAGCCAGGCATCCGACGTCTTCAGAAGAACACGGTACGACCGACTCTTCTCACCGTTCGGGCCTGTGGAGGCAACGAGACGGTCGAACAACGGCATCCGGACGAGATGTCGGGGGAGCAATGTTTTGAACATTTTGAAAGTCAGGGGGTGTCCTATTCCTGCTCCTCCTACTCCTCCTCCTCCTCATCCGTCTCATCCTCCGTCTCCTCCTCATTCTCCTCAATCTACACCCCTTCCTGCAACTCCAGGAGAGAATCGAGGATCGAGAACAAGGATCGAGAACATTATATGTTCGAGAACGAGGATCGAGAATATCCTTCCCTTATATGTTCGAGGATCGAGAACCAGCGTTTCAACACGCCGTGGTGACGTTGGGGGCCGTTTGGACCTCCAGAAGCTTCCAATATGTTTCGAGGGCTCCTTGAGATCACGCGAGACCCCGTTAAGATTCCAAGCAAGCCTGCTCCTCCTCCTCCTGAACACCACCACCACCACCACCACCACCACCATCATCATCATCATCATCATCATCATCATCATCATCATCATCATCAGAATCAGCAGCAGCATCAGCATCAGCAGCACCAGCATCAGCATCATCATCATCACCATCACCATCATCAGCATCAGCATCATAATCAGCAGCAGCATCAGCATCATCAGCACCAGCACCAGCATCACCATCATCACCATCACCATCATCAGCATCATCAGCATCAGCATCATGATCATCACCATCATCATCACCACCATCATCACCATCCTCATCATCATCACCATCATCATCATCATCATCATCACCATCATCATCATACTCATCATAACCATCATCATAATCATCATCACCATCGTCGTCATCATCCTCATCGTCATCCTCAATATCATCATCATCACCATCATCGTCGTCATCATCATCATCATCACCAGCAGCATAGTAACCATCAATATCGTCATTATATATATATATATATATATATTCCCTTCTCGCCTCCCTTCCCTCCTCCCTCACTCCCACCCTTCCCTCCCCTCCCACTCAATGTGGTAGAATGTCCACTGTGATTGTTGTATGTGTTTGTGTCCGTTGTACGGCCGGTCAGTGAGAAATACATGTCCTCCCCCTCACGGAGGCCAAGTCGCGACGTGTCGCTATCGTCATCGCCGACGTTGTCCGTCGTCGTCGTCGTCGCTGCCTGCCATCTGTCTTTTGCTCGCTTCGTTGGACTGAACGCAATACCTCGCCGAGGGATCCGTGATCGCCCTCCAGTTTCGAATCAGACCCTTCCCGGGCGGGGTGGGCTATCGGGCCCCACATCGGCGAACGGTGCCCATGATGGACCGCGCGCTCCTTCGCGGGCGCCCGCGAACCCCCGCCGAAAAAAAACCATCGGGGGGGGGGGGGGGGCGACCCCTGGGCAGTGGCACGCCCGAGCGCCACCCCGCACAGGACGGCGCTCGGGTGCGCCACCGCCCGAGGGGGTCGGTCCAGCCCCGATAGGCTCTCGGCGGCGGTGGTCTCCGTTTCTCCTCGGGTGGTGCCTCAACTTGCTCCGCAAGCGTCCCAGCGAAGCCGGGCCGCAACTCGGACCCGAGACGCTGCCGGCAGACAACAAGTGCTTTCGACGAGCTGGTCCACCCCGCACCCGTCTCGTTTCGCTTCTCCTCTGAAGCCTGAAATTCCTGGAGTCCCAGAGACCGCCCAGGCTGCGGGCGACGGCGGAGCGAGCGCGGGCGCCAGCGCGGGCGCCTGGCGAAGGCCGAAGTGGGGCAGGTCTTCCTGGCCGGGGCAAGAGGCGCACGAGGCGTCGTCGGTCGTTGCCGTCGCCGTCGAGGTAGTCGTCGTTGTCGTCGCCGTCGTATGAGAGAGAAGGAGAAGGCTGAGGAGGAGGAGGATGGAGGGGGAGGAGGATGCTGATGATGCTGAGAATGAGGATGAGGAGTATGAGGAGGATGAGGAGGATGAGGATGAGGAGGATGAGGAGGATGAGGAGGATGAGGAGGCGGAAGCGGAGGAGCGAGAACACTGCGCGGCGGGCCGTCCGTCTCGGCGAGCCGTGGAGCGCCCGACAGCGAGGCCGAGCGCGAAGGGCCGACCAGCTGGCTTTCGCCAAAGGCCGACCCTTGAACCAACGCGCGCGCACGCGCCAGGAGCTCAATCGAAGAGGCCAGCGAGCCGCCTCAGCAGCACCGCCTCCTTCTCGGTGAACTCCGCGTGGCTGGTCGTCGCGGCCTCGAAAGACCCGCGCAGGTCGCCAGGCGCCGTGCCGAGCTTCGAGGCCAGGGCCCCGAGCTCCGCGGCCAGCGCCACCTGCAACCCCGCCGCGCCACCAGCTGCATCGACGCGGAGGCGCTTGTTCTTGTCGTCCCTGCCTCCGTCTGCGGCCGCGGCCGCCGCGCCCGTAGGCGCACGCCGCAGGCCGTCGGCCCAGCTGTCGTCGAGCGGGTCGTCCTCCGAGGCGCCCTCGCCAGCGGGATCGCCCGCGCTCACACCAGCAGGGCTGAGGTCGAGCAGCGCGATGGGATGGCCGTCCACGTGCAAGGAGTCCTGGGCTCCTACATCAGGTCGCCGGGAGCGAGCCCGAGCCCGACGCCGCCGCCGCCTCCGCCGAGGGCGCGGGAGCGCGGCGTCGTTCGGGGGGTCACCAGGTTGCGCCGCGGCGCCATTGCCACCGCCTGCCGCGGGCGTGGGCGCGGGCGTGCCGAGCACCGCCGCCGCCGCCCGCAGGAGCCCTTCGGCCGCCCGCACCAGGCGGAGAGCCTCACGACTCTCGCCGGCGCAGAGGCCGGCAGCGGCGTGCGCCGCCACCAGGGAGCCGCGGGTCGCCTTCAGGGCCCCGCGACGCGTCGCACACATCGGCATGGCGCGCAGCGAGCGGCGGGGCCACCCAGCGATGCGAGCCAGAGCCAACGTGGCTAGGAGGCGGAGGAGGATAAGGATGATGAGGAGGACGAGGAAGAGGACGAGGCTGAAATTCGAGCAGTACACAGCCGTAGCGATGACGGCTTTCCAGGACGAGCAGCGGCATCGGATTAGATTTCTCCTCCACTAAACTCTGGATCAGGTCTTGGCCTCCCTGGAAATGCCAGGGTCACTTATCGGGTCGGATGGAAGGGGGTAGCAAAAGGGCGGGTCAGCGAGCAAAGTCATGCAGATGACTTCGCTGGCGCCTCTTGGTGCCGGCAGGCGCCTCCGTATCGAGGAGCGCGCCCGGCGGCGGGGCCGCAACCGGCTGCACGCAGCAAGAGTTCGCAAACCCCCTTTGCCAGTGCCCCCCCCTTGTGGTCCGACCCGAACCTTGGGGCCATGGCAGCCCCTGGCAAGAGCGCCGCCTCGCGGGAGGGCGGTCTTCCTGCTGCTGCTCCTGCCTCCCCTGGAAGCGTTTGTCGGCGGCGAGCGCTTCGCGGCTCGGCTCCGATGCCTCCTTCTCCTCCTCCTCGTCGTCGACCTCCTCCTCCTCCTCCTCCTCCTCTCCTCCTCCTCCTCCTCCTCTCTCCGTCTCACTCCTCCTCCTCCTCCTTCCAGGAAGGCCTGAAACTACGCTCAATCAGCACACCCTACCGCCATCGGGGCAGGGTGCGGACAGGCCACCCAAGGGATGGCTGAGAAGCCTGCCGCGAAAATCGTCGTCGCTCCTCCCTGGGGGAAATACAGACAACAGAAACATAAAAACTTGCGGAGGTGCGCGCTTATTTCATGGATCGGTGCCTGGGTCCCCGCGCCGATCTAAGAAATCCGGAGGCACCACCAGGGGGGGCCCAAGCCCCGATCCAAGAAATGCGCGTGGTGCCCCGAATGTTCAATTGCATGTCAGTTAATATGATTGTTAGTATTCATTTTCTTAATCTTATCTGATTCGTCTCCTTCTTATTCGTATTATTACTATGCTTGCTATTATTAGTAGTATTGCTATTATTATCATTAATATTATTATTAGTATTAGTATTATTGTTATTATTATTATATGATTATTATGAATATTATTATTATTATTATTCGTATGCTTCTTCTTCTGCGAGAGAGAGAGGGAGAGCGAGAGAGAGAAGTCTGCAGAGAAACTCGTCGGCGCTCCTCCTGCTCCCTCTCCATCCGCCTTCCCTGCCGTCGGTGCGCAGATGGCCCCTACGGGCCCCCCAAGTGGGGTCAGCGGTTGCCCATCCAAGCGTGCCTTGCTGCGCTCACCTCCGCATCCATCCTCCCCCCAGCCCTGCGAGCACCTCTCTTTCCCCCCCCCCCCGCCCTTCTCACGCAGGAGCGACGAGCATACGTATCCACATCCATGCCCTCGCGGTCTGTCGGCGGCGAGCGAGGAGGGGAACTGAGAAGGAGAAGACCTTCTCAGAAGGCGGCGGGACTTTTCAGAACCCCCTCGCGCCTTCGGAAAGGCTTTCTGTGTCTGCGGGAAAGGCTTAGGAAACTTCTCAGAAGGCCGGAGAACTCCCGAGGCTTCTGAGAAGGCCCGCCCCTTCTCGCTTCTCGCGGTCTGGACTCCGAGGCGCGATCCCGTGGATACCCGATCCCGTGGAAACGCTGCGAGCGGGGCACCCACGCCAGGCCGCCATGTGCAATTCTCCGCAAGGTCTGGGCCGAGGACCCCAACCCGTGCGGCCGTGGATAACGAGCACGTGTCCCGCCCGCGGCCCTCCCCGGGATCAAAGCTTCGGGATGCCATGCGGCGTGAGGGCGCTCTGTCTTCTTTTCGACCAGGCAGAAGACGCCGACCAGCAGGAGAGCATGGCCACAAGCCCACGGGCCTCCGATGCCATGTTTTCTAAGAACTGTGCGGTCCCTGGGGGACCCAAACGTGCCTCCAGAGGCTGAGATTCATGAGCACCGTCGGCATTCAAACAAAGTACAGGACAAGGCGCTCGCCCACCACAAGATGACCCCTGAAGGGGGCGAACCCGTCTGACACTGGAGAAGCCACCAAAGGCCCTCAACGGCCTGTGGAGGCCCACGGAAACCCAAGGGCCAAATACTTCCATCCTTGATGCTAAATCCTGAATCCTCGAACATCCTCCTCCTGCTCAACCCTCGAGCCTCGATGCTCTCGACTGCTTACAACACCGCGCCCCCTTCGTTCCGCAAAGACCCACGAGACATCATGTCGGCTGGCCGGACTGGCCCATACATTGTTCCTCATCCCCACTGCTTGATACCAAGCTCGATCCATGCGTCGTTCTTGTTATTCTACGCCTTCTCCTCCTCCTCCTTCTCGATCCTCGAGGTCCCAAGTTCGAGGATCGAAGCGTTCGCATGTGTTCGTTTTCTGTCAGCGATTCTGGGCCTGTGGGGGCGTCGGGGAACGCAGAGGCCACCGGATGTCTCTCGAGACTGGCCGTGCTCCTCGTACACGCTGGACGCCAGCAACCAGCATACTCTAGCAAATATTGGGACCCAGGCTAGAAGAACATCCCCGAAGAACCTGAGACCCTCCGCCGGCCACCAAAGCGCACAGAACATCCAAGGGTATCCTCCCCAGGATGCACAAGAACATCCAACAAACACATCTCGGACCGACTGTACCAATACTATTACTCCCTGGACCTCGCCCAGGATTTCGGGGCGAATCCAACGGTGGCGTCGAGGGCCTCCCAGGACGGCGGAACAGGGGAAACAGGGGCAAGTGGTAGCGGGGTTGGTGCCTCTCCCTCCTCTGACATGAACCTCCGAATGCCGGTCCTGGCCCTGCTCCGCCAAACCACGCTTCGAGCGTCTGTCATCCTGCATCGGTATCCCCGCAACTGACCACAGGAAGAGCAGGAAGGGAGCGGGGCCCCCGGTAGAACCGGGCGTCCGTCCTGGGCAGTCGTCTGACGCCCTTGGGCCCAGGGAGAGCTCTGGGAGCCCGAGAGCCGCGAAAGACCTCCGCGGAACCCCTCGCCCTAGGTCGGGCGTGTCCCCCCTACAGGCGGATTTTCACAGGAAAATGGACAGTAGCCCAAACATGCGCACGGATAGACAAAAAAGCAACAACAAAAACTCCCCTGACTATTTTTGAACGTTCCTCCTGTAGAGAAACATGCTCGCCTTAGCCCTTGCCCCCATCCACGGGCTGTTTTCTGCATGCTGGCTCTGGCAGGCGGCCGCAACTCCTTGATCGCCCAGACGCAGTCCGGTCCAGCGGCGCCAGGGGCCTCCGGAAGGAGGAGTAGGAGGATGAGAGGAAGGACCAGGACCAGGACCAGGAGGAGGAGGAGGAGAAGGAACAGGAGCAGAAGGAGGAGAAGGCTCGAAATAACGAGGAGGAGGAGGACTCCGCTCAAGATCCTCAGCACGGCTCGCTCTCTGGTCGCCGTCGCCCTGCCGCCGTCTAGCTCCAAGCCGCAATCCGCCAGCGTGTCCCCCCCGACCTCCACGCCTTCCTCTCTCCCTTCCGACCTCGTCAGTCCAGGCGCCCAGCTCCGAACAACCATTATTCCTCTCTCTCTCTCACTCTTTTATGTGAATATATACATATATATATATATGAGACTGCATTAGCGCTTCGCGCCATGTAACTTATGCCTTGCAGTTTGGCATGCCGGCGGGTGGGTAGACAGGAAGGCAAAACAGAGACAACGTAGCGATAACTCCTTGTTCCCTTTTCCATGCATCGAAGTTCTAATAATGTTATTCAGTATCCTTGCCTCATGTTTCCTCTTCCTCTTCCTCATTGCCCCCCATCCTCATCAGCTCTTGCTGCGGAGGCTCCTCCATGGAGAGCCTCTTGGGGGCCTCCCGAAAATTGTTAACAGCTTCTTGGGGCCTTCTGGAGGCCTCCTGGGCGCCTTCTGGGAGCCTCTGGGAGTCTCGGGACACCCTGCTTCCAATCGCGGTCTCAATGAACGTCCGGATCACGATGTGGAATGCTTCGGGAGGCGTCTTGGGGCCATCTTGTGCCGTTGTGAAGCTCTCTTGGACTGCATGGAGGCCCTTTCGGATAGTTTTGGTGAGATGTTCGAGCCTCTTGGGCGGTCTCGGACACCCGGTCTACCGAAGAACAGAGCACTCCCAACATCACACGAAAACAAGTGAAACCAAATGTTTTGCATTCAGAAAGTCTCTTGGGGGTCTTCTTTGGGTCGTCTTCGGGCGTCAGGTGGGTGTGGGGTTTCTCGGGGCCCTCGGGGGGGCCGTTCGGCCGCCCCCCTCACAGATTTGGGCCCGTTGCCTAGTCCTACCAGGGGCTTCAAGGAGCTCCGGAAAGCTCGGGGGGGCTCCTGCAGGGACGTCCAGGGGGCCCCCAGGGCCTCTGATCCGTGCAGTGCCCAGTTTCGAGGGGGGGTAGGGGGGCAGAGTTGTTGCAGGGTCTGGACTCATAACGACATCTGGAGAGAATGAATATGTATGCACATACATGTGTATATAAACATATGTATGTGTATGTACATGTATGCATCTGTATATATATATGTATATATATACATATATATGTATATAAGTATGCACACAGCTGTAACACGCATGCATACAGACATACCTACATGCACGTATGCAGTCATGCATGCATCCATATACGCGCACATACACACAATCGTACAAATACATACATGCATACATGCACGCATGCATGAATGCATGCATCTATACATACACACATACATACATACACACACATGCATACACGCATGCATGCATACGTAAATACATACGTACGCACGCACGCACGTACATACGTGCCTACCTACCTACTTACCGGCATACATACACACATGCATACATACATACATGCATGCATGGATGCATGTATGCATACATGCATACATACATGCAGGCATATATACATACATGCATTCATACATACATTCATACATACATTCATACATACATAGTTACATGCATACATACATGCATACATGCATACATACATACATACGTACGTACACACATACATACATATATACATACATACATACGTACATACATGCATGCACCCCCGTCGGTACTGGGCTGCGGGGGCGTTTCGTGGAGCTGCGGATGTGGTCTGGCGTCAATCGCTTCGCTCTGAGACGGGGACCTCGAGAAAGGAAGAGAGTGCCAGCGTCTTCTATGATATGCTCAAGTATTATGAAACGATTGACTTAGACGTTTTAGAGCAGCGTTGTCACCAACACAATTTCCCGACCGTGCTGACTAGGCTTACCCTTTATGCGTATAGGTGTGGCCGCTTTGTCTCCATCGCTGGCCTCCTGGATGGGCCGCACTTTGTGCAGAAAGGAGTCATCGCTGGCTGCAGCATGGCCACTACTCATATACGCATTTATGGTTTGTCTTCGTTCGATAAGCTCCCCTCTGTTCCCTCCCTTGATTTTGACATATATATTGATGATACTGGAGTGTCATGCACGGGGTCCAGAGAACATGTTATCTCGTCCATTGTTACCGTCTCTCTCGCTCTCCATCATGCTATTACTGATGAGAATGAGATGAACTGTCAGCTTGCTCTTGACAAGATTTGTACTGTTGCGTCCTCCAAAGGCCTGGCCACCGCGCTGGCTGCGGCCCTGGGGCAGTTTGGAGGCAAGTTCACTGCCTCGACTGTGAACCTCGGAGTTGACTACTGTGCTGGCACCTCGGTCAGGGCCTCAGGGCGGAGCTCGAAGCTCAAGAGCCGTGTGGCGCTGCTCTGCAGGAAAGCCCGTCGTCTCAAGCGTCAGGCAGGTTACCTTGGTCGCAAAGCCCTCAGAGTTTTCGCCGCGGGCCCCCTCCCTGGAGGGGCCTATGGGGCGGACATCCTGGGGGTGAGCGACCAGGTTCTCCTAACCATGAGGCGGCAAGCTTTCAAGACAGTGAGGCCTTTTGCTAAAAGTAGGTCTCTCACGGCGGTCAGCCTTCTGTCGGACGACCCGTGCTGGCGAGCTGCTTCGGCCCCCATCCTGCGCTGGAGCAAAGAGGTCTGGCTGGCCCAAACTCGTGAGTTCCCCTGGTCCATTCCTCATAGGGAGCTCCGAGACGGCTTCAGGAGTGTGTTTGCGCTGCCTAGGGTTACTTGGCCTACTGTTAAGGGCCCCGTGTCTGCCCTTCGCCTTACCCTCCTTCGCCTCGGTTGGACCATGGTTGACTATGCCACTATTTTTGACGACCGTGGTTATCGTTTGCAGCTCGGCCTGATTCCCCCCAAACTGTTGGAAACTATGTGTAAAGAGGCCTACCTGCGTGGGCTCGAGCGGGATCTTGGGGGTAAATGGGGGCTTGAATGCAGGGCGTGTCTGGACATTCCCAGAGCTGCTTGTGTCAGTAAGAAGTTCACACCCGCGCAGAGGGGCTGGATTCGGGCTTGCTCTTGTGATGCCATTTGGTCTGCGGACAAGGCCTTGGAATGTGGGTATCAGGTAGACCCGCTTTGCCCTCTCTGCTCTGCTGCGCCCGACTCAGTGTTTCACAGGCTTTGGCAGTGCACGGCGACGGAAGTCCAAGAGTCGCGGACTCAGCTGGTCCCGGCCTCAGTCGTGCTAGACGCCATCGCCGTGTGGACAGCTCAGGCGGAACCTGACCCTCATGTGCGAGCTCTTTATACTAGAGGAGCTTTCGCTCATCCCGCTGATGTGTTGCCGCGTCCTGTTGAGGAGGGAACTAATGCCCTTCAGTTCGTCTGGCATAGTGACGAGCTCCCTAGCCCTGAAGGTCCCAGGGTCCCAGTGAACGGGGAAATGTGGGGGCACGTCTTCATAGATGGGTCCTGTCAGCGCCACCCGATCAAGGAATTGTCTAGAGCTGCCTATGCGATTACTATGAACGCTGAGGATGGCACGTGCCTTGGAGAGGCGAGAGGCCCTGTCTGGGCTCATCTTCCTCAGACGCCTCAGGCGGCTGAATATGCTGCCAGATGTGTCGCCGCACAGTTCTTGGTGTTGCCGACCACAATTTATTCGGACTGTGCGAACGTTGTGTCTCACAGCACGTTGCCCTTGCCTGAGAGGTACTCGGGCAAGAGGTCTTATTCAGGAATGATCATGTGTGCCAACAACTTTGAGGGCGGTTTTTTGGAAGGAATTGTTAAGGTCAAAGCTCATTTAGATGTGCACCAGGAGGGCATCTCGGAGAGAGAACGTTTCCTCAGGCGTGGAAATGCTGATGCGGATGTGGGGGCCAAACATGCCCTTCAGCTTCACCCATCTGACCCGACTGAATTAGCCAATGTGGACAAGCTTGTGGAAGCGGCCAGGGGTTATTGCATCCTTGCTGCTAACTTGCTTCCTCTTTGGCCTAAGCTCTCTCTCGACGTTCCCTATCTCCCTCCTCCTCCTGCTGAGCATTTAAGCTCCCGCAGTAAGGTAGGCCATCGTTGGGAAGTCTGGGCTGACGTCTGGAGGTGTGCGGTGTGCCTCCGCGGGAACAGGGGCTCGTCACGGCCTCCCCCTGGTAGGTGCCCCCAGGATTCTAAACTGCATGCGGCAAGGCAAGATGCTCTTGGGCATAGGACTGTTGCCTTCGACTGCTCTGACAAGACAGTGCTTTTCATATGCCTAAAATGTAAATGCCACTCCACAGGTGGCAGGATTTGAGGCCTAGGCGAAGTTTGCAAGAAGCCTACCCGTGCGGGCCGTCAGGGTTGGGCCGCCTTGTGTAAGGGAATTCACCCGCAGTATTCTAAGTCCAGCAAAGGTGTCACAGTTGATGACACCTCGCTAGTGCGCTGCTTCAACTCGTATTTGGTTTCGAATCCTCAATTTTCGGAGGAAGATGTTTCGAGCTCTGCGCCCTCTGGCCCGACTGGCAGTGCTGCCAGCGCTGGAGGGCAAGAGCGTCCCAGCTCCACAGTGCCAGCTATTGCAGCCATTGCCAGTGCTCCTGCCTGCAGCGTTGCGCCCAGCTCTTCCTCGTGTGATGTGGTCGCCTCGGCCCCAGCCACCAGGGAGTGCTTGAATCGCATTGCTGCGTCTCTCCGCTGCGAAGCGGACGATCTGGGAACGGGCGGGACTGTGGAGGCGGGGTCGGGGGATTCGGATTGATTTTCTGCGTTCTCGCCTGCCTTTCTCTTTTGGCAGGTTTGAACCTTTTGTTCGTGCGTTGGTCTTCGGAGCCTTTCCTTTTCTTTCGGTTTCTGTTCTCAATCTTATCCTCGGCCGTGCTTTGCTTCCTTGGCTTTCAGGCTGTTGTGGCATAGGTTGCTGCTCGCGACCTAAGCGGCGACCGCCTGTCCGCTCAGGACGCTCTCCGCGTTGCCGATTTTTTCCAGCTGAGGGTCAGCTGGCGCCTGTCCTCGCCTGTCTTTCGCCTCCTGTGACAGGCTTGGCTCTTGTGTGGCGAGTTTTTTTCTTTTGTGCACTGTCTCTGGCATGTCTGCCAGACAGTGGGAGCCCGAGCCGAGGGTCGATCCGTGCGGGGAGGGGGCCATAGTGGGCGCTCCGAAAGGAACTCGCGAAGCCCCCTCCCCATAGCGGCTCTCGCCGAGGCGAGGTCTTTCAGTGCTGGCAGGTCCCGCCCTGCCAGTTGCTTGCACTATGCGGTGGGTCCGTGGAGATCAAAAAATACATACATGCATGCATGCATGCATACATACATACACACATACAAACATGTACACACATACGCGCACATACATGCATACGAAACTACATATATACACACATCCATACTTGCATATACACGTGCATGCATGCATACATCCATTCATACATTCATAAACACACACATGCATACACAAGTGCTTACACTCGCACACGAATGTACATATATATATATATGTATATATATATATATAAGTATGCGCAAGGTTGCATACATACATTCATACATCCGCCCGTCCATCCACCCATCAATCACTGTATACATACATGCATGCATGCATGCATGCATGCATACACATATATACACAGTCATCCGTACATGCATGCGCACGATCCTGTTTACATTTCAGTGGAAGGAGATGAGGGCGAGGACGGGGAGCAGTGGGAGGAGATGAGGGCGAGGACCACGCAGATGCCCAGAGATCATAAACAAACGTAAGAAACCAACAACTTCTTGTTGCCGAGAGGCTGGGAAGGTGGGGGCCGCCAGGAGCCCCAAAAACAAGGTGAGCAACCTCCGAAAACGCAACAGTCATCGAAGCCAGATCCTCGGCCGCCCCAAACGTGCCATCGCTCGGACGTCCATCCCCCGTGCATCATTGTTGCAGTCGTAAGCGTTTCTTCTCTGCAGATGATCCAAGCAGCTCCCAGCTTGTCCAGTGTTTTCTTGCGCCAGCCTCGCCGAGAAAATTGCGCGCGTCCGAGCGATGCCAAGCCCAAATATCCCCGCGATCTCCAGAGGCCTCCTGCATGGGGCCCGGGAAGGTAGGGTCGGAGGATCGCGCCGCATCGTCGATGCATCGGTGACGTCGGCGTTGCATCGTCGGCCCGTCGGCGTAGAGAAAGCCGGGCTCCAGATCGGTCGGCGATGCGGCGGAATCCTCCGACGCCATCTGCTCGGACCCCAGAGGAGGCGGAAGAGGAGGAGGAGGACGAGGAGGAGAAGGAGGAGTAGGAGCAGGAGAAGGAGGAGTGGGAAACCTGGAGACCAGAAGACCCCTCGATCTCCCTCCCTGGGACGGCCCCCCTCCGGCGGTGGGCGCCTCCTCGAACGCGCAGGGGCGGCCCTCGGTGCTGGCCTGCCCAGGGACGATGGGTCCGCGGCCCGCCCCCGCCGGCGTCGACTTCGACGTCGTCGGCGTCGTCGTCGGCGTAAGCGTGGGCGTGGGCGTGGGCGTGGGCGTGGGCGTGGGCGTCGTGGTCAGCGTCGTCGTCGTCATCCTGTTCACGACTGCTTGTCAGTGCGTGCTCCCACGTTGCCACCTGGCCAGCGAACAGAGGGTCCCCACGGGTGGTGCAATCGTCCTCGCAGAAGGCCGTATACGTATCTCTGTCAACGAGGAAGTGGCGGCGCCGACGCTGCAGAACGCGCGCCGAAAACGACACAGGGCGCACATACCGCCCGCCAAAGGGGGCGAAATGCCGCTCTCACCTTGGTGCCGCTCCCACCTGTCCTGACAGTCGAGCTCCCACTTGGGCGCGGCGTGCCGCCTTCGCACCCCACGTCGTCGACGCGCGAGCGCATAGAATGTCACTCTCGCCTCGGGAGCAGACTTCGCCTGAGAGTGGCGCTCCCGCCTCGGCGAGCCGTGGATCTGCCACTCGCACAAAGAGTTAGAGCCCCGCCCCGCACGAGCGGGCGACTCGTCGCCCTCGTCCAAACTCCGTGCAGAGTTCGCACGGAAATGAGGCCACAATAGGGGCCCGACCGCAAGAAACCTTCCGCAAGAAACCCAACCCTGACACCCCTGGACGTCGCCCGATTCACAACCATCCTGTGGTGTTGGGTCCTCGTTTTGAAGAGACAGAGCCGCGCGTCCCTCCTCCTCTTCCTCTTTTCCTTCTCCCCCTCCTCCCTGCCTGCTCCCATCATCATCACTAACATCATCGTCATCGTCATCGTGATCGTCGTCGTCATATCATCATTACGAACCTCATGGTCATCATCATTTCCATCATGGCCGTCATCATCACCATCATCGTCATCATCACCAGCATCGTCATCGTCGTCGTCACACCCCACACACGTTTCGTGGCCTCATGGGGAGTCGCGCCCACGGTCCCAATTGCGCAGTCCGCATGGCGGCGCCGCCCCATCTTGGCACACCCCTCAAACGTTTCGTGGCCCCATACGGAGCTCAACCTAAGGACACAGACCCAGTGTCGAAGCCCGCATGGCGGCGCCGTCCGATTTTTGCACACCCCTCACACGTTTCGTGGCCCCATAGGGAGCTCCACCGTGAGTCTCAGTGACGCAGTCCGCATGGCGGCGCCGCCCCATTCTGGCACACCATTCACACGTTTCGTGGCCCCGTAGGGAGCTCCACCTTAGGTCCCAATAGCGCAGTCCGCATGGCAAGGCCGCCCCATTGACGCACCCCTCACACGCTCCGTGGCCCCATCGGGTGCTCCACATCAGGTCCCAGTGGCGCAGTCCGCATGGTGGCGCCGCCCCATTTTGGCACATCCCTCATACGTTTCGTGTCCCCAAAGGCAGCTCCACCTAAGGCGGCGCCGTCCGATTTTGGCACACCCCTCACACGCTTCGTGGCCCCATAGGGAGCTCCACCCTGCTCCTCCCCGTGCCCCGTCGCGGGGCGCATCGCCGATCGAAGTATGCTGGCACATCACTTGGTCACGCCCGCATTGCTTCGACACGGAGTGCTCGCTTTGCGCACGCGCTTTCGGACGGTCGCACGTAGGTCGGCGGCGTAAAAGGACAGACTCTCGCGAAATGTTTGGAATGGTGTGTCGCGCCTTCTCGGACGGTCGCACGTTGGCCGGTGGAGAGGAAAGCGCAGGAGTGGGTGGAAATTCGTTGGGAGTTTTCGAGTGCGTAGGAAGACAGGCCCATCGCGAAATTCGTTGAGGTGTTCGCCTTGCGCAAACGCTGTCGGACGGTCGCGCTTAGGTCGGTGGCGTGGAAGGACAGAACCATCGCGACATGTTTGGAATTTTGTTCTGCGCTCGTTGGAGCGTTGGCTTCGCGCGCGCGTGTTCGGAGGGCCGCACGTTGGCCAGTGGGGAGGTATGACTTGTAGTGGATGGAAGGTTTGGGTGAGATTGTCGGGTGCGTGGAAAGACAAGACCATTGTGAAATGTTTGAAATGGTTATTGGGGGCTCGCTGGAACTCTCGCTTTGCGCGCGCTTTCGGACGGTCGCACGTAGGTCGGTCGCGCAGAAGGACAAAACCCCCGAGAAATGTGTGAAATGTGTTTTGGCCATCGTTGGAGCGTTCGCTCTGCGCGCGTGTATTCGGAAGGTCGCACATTGGCCGGCGCGGGGGACTGCATGAGAGTGGATTGACATTCGCGTGGAAGTTGTCGAGCGCGTGGGAAGACATAACATCGCGAAATGTTTGAACATTTGTTTGTTTTTCCCAACCATCCTGTGGCGTTGGGTCCTCGTTTTGAAGAGACGGTGCCCCGCGTCTCCTTCCTCTTTCCTCCTCCTCCGCCTCCTCTCCCCTCCCATCATCACACCCATTTCGGCACACCCCTCACACGTTTCGTGGCCCCATAGGGAGCTCCACCGAAGGCCCCATGGCTGCCGTCCGCATGCGTCCCGCACACCCATTTCGGCACACCCCTCACACGTTTCGTGGCCCCACAGGGAGCTCCACCGAAGGCCCCAGTGCTGCCGTCCGCATGCGTCCCGCACACCCATTTCGGCACACCCCTCACACGTTTCGTGGCCCCATAGGGAGCTCCACCGAAGGCCCCAGTGCTGCCGTCCGCATGCGTCCCGCACACCCCTTGCCGTCCGGCACACCCATTTCGGCACACCCCTCACACGTTTCGTGGCCCCATAGGGAGCTCCACCGAACACCCATTTCGGCACACCCCTCACACGTTTCGTGGCCCCATAGGGAGCTCCACCGAAGGCCCCATGGCTGCCGTCCGCATGCGTCCCGCACACCCATTTCGGCACACCCCTCACACGTTTCGTGGCCCCACAGGGAGCTCCACCGAAGGCCCCAGTGCTGCCGTCCGCATGCGTCCCGCACACCCATTTCGGCACACCCCTCACACGTTTCGTGGCCCCACAGGGAGCTCCACCGAAGGCCCCAGTGCTGCCGTCCGCATGCGTCCCGCACACCCATTTCGGCACACCCCTCACACGTTTCGTGGCCCCATAGGGAGCTCCACCGAAGGCCCCATGGCTGCCGTCCGCATGCGTCCCGCACACCCATTTCGGCACACCCCTCACACGTTTCGTGGCCCCATAGGGAGCTCCACCGAAGGCCCCATGGCTGCCGTCCGCATGCGTCCCGCACACCCATTTCGGCACACCCCTCACACGTTTCGTGGCCCCACAGGGAGCTCCACCGAAGGCCCCAGTGCTGCCGTCCGCATGCGTCCCGCACACCCATTTCGGCACACCCCTCACACGTTTCGTGGCCCCATAGGGAGCTCCACCGAAGGCCCCATGGCTGCCGTCCGCATGCGTCCCGCACACCCATTTCGGCACACCCCTCACACGTTTCGTGGCCCCACAGGGAGCTCCACCGAAGGCCCCAGGCTGCCGTCCGCATGCGTCCCGCACACCCATTTCGGCACACCCCTCACACGTTTCGTGGCCCCACAGGGAGCTCCACCGAAGGCCCCAGTGCTGCCGTCCGCATGCGTCCCGCACACCCATTTCGGCACACCCCTCACACGTTTCGTGGCCCCACAGGGAGCTCCACCGAAGGCCCCAGTGCTGCCGTCCGCATGCGTCCCGCACACCCATTTCGGCACACCCCTCACACGTTTCGTGGCCCCATAGGGAGCTCCACCGAAGGCCCCATGGCTGCCGTCCGCATGCGTCCCGCACACCCATTTCGGCACACCCCTCACACGTTTCGTGGCCCCACAGGGAGCTCCACCGAAGGCGCGCGTCGCTTTGACCCTCTCGGGGCGATCAGCGCGCGTCGCGCAAACTCCGCATTGCGCTCTGCCCAGCGCCTCGCCCGCCCCTCGTCGCTCTGCCTGGCGGCCAGAGCCACGCGCGCTACGAGTCAGCCAGCAATCACTCTCTGATCCGCTCAGCGGACGAACCGCGCGCGTCACTGCGACCCCTTCGGGGCGACCGGCGCGCGTCGCGGGGGCTCCGCCTTGCGCTGCGCCCGCAGCCTTGGTCTTTGGAGTGCGCGGGCAAAGGAGATGGAAAAAATGAGGGGAGGGAGCGAGCGCGATCCTCGTGTGTGGCGTGCCGACATGGGCGTCGCGGCGCGCGGGCGCTGCCGCCGGGGTTCCCAGGGAAGCCCCCTGCAGAGGCGACGCTCCGAGTCACGAGTACCGAGAGTCACGCAGACCCAAACTGTTCACAGTCGTATACATACATTTACACTGGGCGTATCCATGCACGCATTCATGCGAATAGAATCAATCGCGCGCAGATTCATTCATAATCAGACTCGCTCGCGATCCGACTCGCACGCGCTCAAGCTTTCATATTCGGACCTATCGTCTTCGTTCGTGTTGTGTACACTGCCACGCATTTCGGCACACCCCTCATACGGCTCGTGGCCCCATAGGGAGCGCCACCGAAGAAGATATTCACAATTGCGGTACTCTCAACTGCATATGGTTGGGTCCTTCGCCAGGCTAATTGTTTTCGTTGGAGCCCCGGGGGGGAAGGCATGATTGTTGTAGCTTGCAAGGGGCCACTAACGCCAATTATGTGTTCGCGGGTTCGGGACGTTGTACATGGCTGTTAGGACTCAGAAGAGCACATTGTATTCAACATTGCAACAAGGAGCTGTGGTGAGCATTTCCTTGCGTGTTTGCCTACATCTTGAAATGCTGTTTTCGGTTCGGTGTCTCTGTAGCCGCCGTCGCGTGCATGGCGTGTTTTCGCAGCTGTGGCGCCCTGCATGATGTTTGTGAGAACGCGCGCTTATTTTGAACGGCATCGCCGTCGTAATTGTTATAAACGTAGCGCGCGCCGAATTGCGACAGCGAGTCTTTGCGCGATCCTGCTGCGCGCCACCGACACAGAATTGCGTCATCCATTGTGCTGGGTCAGGCGACGAACTTAAGTTGCGCATTGCCCGTTTACCTCCTAACCGCCTGTCCGTTGTGTTTCGTTGGTTTG